CTGTAGGGTGTGCTCCTTCTGATCCCAGGCAAAGCTTCCCCACTCGGTCATGTGACACCATCCGAGCCAATCGCAGCCCTTCGTCCATTAAGGTTTGCTGTATGAGATGACGACTCCAGCTGGCGGGGTTGGAGGTGTCGGAGTGGGGACGGGGAGATGGAGACTGGTTGCACTGTGAGTTGGAGTCTAAAAGGACAGATCTGAGTTCAAATTTTGTTCTTACAGAAACAAGTGAGTGTCTAATGTAGGGGAATAATCTCACTGAGCACAAGAGCTTAGTCTAAAAACATTTTGCTAATACTTTATTTAGTCATTTGTAATACTTTAGAGGTTTAAAGCATATTATACCATGTGACACACAGTCCAGGTTTTCTGCAGACAAGCTGTCATCATCCGCTCTCTGAGACGTGGTCTCGGCTCCGTCCACTATTAGGAGTGATGAGACGTTCTCAGGCCCGATGACCTGAATGAAATTCACCAAGTAAAAATATTATTATCAAATAAAGGGCTTGGGTCAGAGGGGATTTAGCTGTAAATGCTTACCTCATGTCTTGGTCTCTTATTACACAAACTGCTGTTCTCATCCGCATTCGGCCTGCAGAAGATAATAAAAAAATAAAAACTTTTAATTGCAATAAGAATTCTGCCAAAATTCCCAAAAATGTATGAACTACCGTTCCATTTTTGAATTTTAATGTAAACAATGAGATGTATGATGGAGTGTTATAGCCACTTACTGGTAAAAAAAAAAATTACGTGGAATTTTACATGTAAAAATACTGTTTCTAGCTCATTAAACTGAAGTTTGATGATTCAGTGTCTCCTCAACTAGATTTATTGATTCAAAATTTAATTGCAACAAAATAATGTTTGTGTTTTTATAACTTTATTCTCTAACTTTTCTGATTAGATTTTAATAATTTGACCAAAAAATTATAATAATAATCCCAATAATCTGAACAGCAAACAATAGTGCTTAGGCCATGTCTGGGATTTTAAACTAAAGAACGTCAACTTTTGGAATCAAAATATGGTTAAAAATAAATAAATAGGTCAATGGCCTGTATCTGATAAAGCGCTTTATACGGTCCTGGAACCCCCCAAGGCACTTTACAACACAAACAGTCATGTATCCATTCACACACATTCACACTCTGGTGGTGATGAGCTACATTGTAGCCACAGCTGCCCTGGGGCACACTGACAGAGGTGAGTCTGTCGTACACAGGCGCCACCGGTCCCTCCGAACACCACCAGCAGGCACGGTGGGTTAAGTGTCTTGCCCAAAGACACAGCGACAGAGCGGGGCTCGAACCTGCAACCTTCCAATTATGGAGCCAGCACTTAACTCCTGTGCCACCGTTGCCCCATGCTTGCCCCAAAATTCTAGAATTGAATTGAGGTGTACTCTTTTTTTACCTGATTAACTTTTTATATAAAACCTGAGCTGTAACAGAAGAAATCTGAATAAAACAACTGAAAACGTCTAACTAACACTTTGCTTCGATCTGAAACTCGTGTGAAGCAGGTGTGTTTGTGTGGGTCAAATCCTCATCGCTCACCCCTACCTCACTCACCTTGTGCTCTTCAGTGTGGAGGTGTAGGCACATTTCCTGGCCACCTGTCGAGCCAGAGAAAACAGCTCCACCCGTCTGAGGAGAAGAGCGTTGTCGCGCATGCAGAACTGAGCTGCAGCTTCGTTGATGATCAGCTGGGGAGGAGGAGACACCGAATGAAGGAGTGATGGAGGCTTTAAATCAACATTTAAGGTCACAAGGTGAAGATAAAATCTGGTTTGTTGTCACTTTAGCGATCCGTGAGCTCGGGTGATGTGCTTGTTAGGTTTTACCTCGTGGTGTGAGAGCTGCTTGCCTTCTCTCCGTTTGGAGTCAAAGCGCCCGTAAATCAGACTGTATTTCCGGATCTCTTCTTCCTTGTTTGCATCCTGGGAACCCATTCTGAAGATGTGCCCCACAGTTTTTGCCATCTTCTTGTTCATCCTCAGCAGGGTTTTCACCTCTGTGAGATCAGACCGGGGCAGGGTCCTAAACAGCTGCTCCACGCTCTCCACCACGGCCCTCGCCGTCTCCCCGTCCAGCTGTCCTCCAGGCCAGGCCGACAGAGCTGAAGGGGCGAATGATGCAGATGGGACAGGAGATGTTGAAGGACCAGGAGGACATGTGGACAGTAGTGGCGGGCTGGGCGCCTCCTCCTCTGTTCCAGGTGCAGAAGCTACATTGCTATTACCATCAGGCTCTGGGCTGAGCCAGTGGGGGTCCATGGGGGACAGTTTTTCCCTGTAGTGTGTTTCTGGCGGTTGAGGAGAGGCCTGGGAGCAGGGGCTCCTTGGACTCCCACTGTACATTGGGGTGAGGCACGCCCGATCCTCCCTCTCACAGGGCGACCCAGGCTGCCCATTACTCACAGGCTTTCTGGGCCCGCCAGCTGACCCACTAGTGCCCGTCCCATCAACTTTGAACAGAGGGATCCCCCCGAGAGGAACGTTGGCGACAGGCTGGCTGAAAAGGGCAGGGTTCGCCGCCCAGTCTCGGAGAGCCTTCTGCAGCCTACGCACGTGCAGCGGCTTGGTGGCCATGCCAACTAGTGCCATGATTTCCAGAAACTCCTCCTCTGCAGCCTCACAGAGTTGTTGCACATCGTCACCGCCCTGCTGGATGAAGGTTTCGTAATAGGCCAGCAGGTTGGCCCGCTGCAGCACCCTGTAGAGTTGCAACTCCCCAAGTGTGCGTGGCAGAGACATGGCACACGGCACTGGAAAAGTTCAGGCAGGAGAAAGGAAACACATGAACCTGCAAAGTGGAAAAGTCCAGAGATGTTAAATATCCAGACAGCTCATTTTCAAATGCATCTATCAGGCTGAAGCACAAAAACTTTTGCATGATTCTAGGATTAAAAACATGATATTTTTCATGCAAAACACAAACGTGCACCAAGTACTCTTGAATCTTTCTTACCTTTTTCAGATGAGTTGAAACTTAAAGCAGTCTGGTCTTATTCCCTGGAATAAAACTGTGAAAGAAGCCAAATATTTTCCCTTATGGTTCTGATGTGAAGCAGTGAGCTGCTTGGGTGACTGGCTCCAGTCAGACTGAGCCAATCCTGAGCCAGATGTCAGAGAGGACTCCCTGCTCAGCGACACGTCGTCCTTCTCTACATCCGATTCGTTCCTCTTACCTCTTCACCGACAGCCTCCACGCCGCAGATCGCCGTAGTAAATCCCCTTAGCGCGTCGCTGCTTGGTCCGATATCACTGGCAGAAATCCTCCTCCGGCGCACCGTATTGGTTGCTGGCTCTGGCTGCCTTTTTGCTGTCTGTGTGGGCTGGAGAATGACGGGGGCGGGCTGCAGCACGCCATCTGACCGAAAAAGAGCCTTCCTCTCCCGGTAGAGAGGCGGCTTTCAAATAGGGGATGTGGGCGGCGGTGGTGGGGGCTTGAAATTAACCCTGTGCGTCTTCACGGCTCCTGACGCACACGCTGTGGGGGATTCCCAGTTTCACCACCACAAAGACCCCCAGACCTGAAGTCACCATTAGGTTAAAAACGATCAACTAATGTGGGTTTGCATGTAGGAGCCCACACGTGAACACGGGTTTTTGCTTGAACCTGTTTCTGTTCTCCAAGACAAAGAAAGTCTAAGAAAAAACGTCAGAAAAAGGTTAACGCGACTGTTGAATCAGATATATATTATATTATATAGTTAGAACCGAAAACATGTCAGATTTGAATCATGTTCTGAACGATTTCGTGGCACCAGCATCATCATCAACAGCAAGGCAGGAAAAATGAATCAATGATAAATGTGAACAGTGGCGGTCCCAAAGGTTGGTCAAGTGGGTGGGGGAGGGCACCCTTGCTTAATCACATTCATGTTCACCTAAACCCTTACATTCATCTTCTTTAAGCCAAATAATACATTAACTTTAATAAACCCTTTCTGTAATAACTAATTTATATATATATATATATATATATATATATATATATATATATATATATATATATATATATATATATATATATATATATATATATTAGGGCCGGGACTCGATTAAAACATTTAATCTAATTAATTAGAGGCTTTGTAATTAATTAATCTAAATTAATCACATTTTAATCGTTCAAAAAAATGTGCCCTCAAAGCAAAACTTGTAATTAAAATTATGAGACAGAGAATCAAACATTAGACATGGTTATTACTGTAAACTAAAGCTCTTAATTTAAAAAATGCCTTTTAATTATTCAAATGTCACTGTGTGATATGAAACAAGACCCAAATCAACTAAAATCAGAGTAGTGAGGACATGGAGCATTTTCCCAGCTGCAGCCAGGTGCCTCTCATTTGTTTGACTACTTTCATTAACTACTGTTAGGGCAAAGAAATATTCTGTCTGGTGCTTTCAGCCCTGTACAGATATTACGTAAATGTTAAAAATATAGCTTACCGCAACATTTTTAAAGTTTCCGGTGCCACCGGGCAGCCGCAGCAGAGACGATCTCTGAAAAATGTCTGCGACATGGACTCCGTTGCTGTCTGGAAGTTTACTTTTTCTAAGTAAAGAAAAGAGGAGGACGTGTTTCCTAAATCCTGCATCAGTCCAATCAAGGCAACTTCTGTCTGTTTTTATCCCTTTTTAGTAGCCATTGTTGTGTGCGTCAGTGATATTCGGTCTACAAGGAAATTGTGCAATGACAAAGGTTCCGCCTTGCTCGAAATGCAAGCTGTGATTAAATGCGTTAATTTTTTTAACGCGTCATTTTTGTCGAATTAATTAATCAATTAACGCGTTAAACTCACCGCCCTAATATATATATATATATATATATATATATATATATGTGTGTGTGTGTGTGTGTGTGTGTGTGTATATAATAATTATTATTATTCATAATGTCAAGCATTTAATTACCTAAACTGAAGATTTACAAAAAAAATTCACTCCTCTCAGAGTTTTTATGTCTGTAAATTAGATTTATAAATCTTTTTTTTTCTTGTACGAGGATGTAAAGTCATTTATTCCTGCTGTGAAGTAGGCATTTTTTAACAAAGGAGGCAATGATAATTTTTGGTGATTTTTGTTTTATTTGATATCATGTTTTATCTCTATATTTTACCTTTGTTTATTTTGATTTGCTCTAATGCAATCTCTTTTTTCTGAAAACTATCTTGCAATACTTGTTGCTGGTCAGATGTCACCGATGTGGGACCGATGTGTGGGACATCTAAATGATTTGTCTGTCCTATTTTCTATTCTAACCAAGTGTAGCGTTGGCAAATTGAGTGCTTTAAGAGCTCAAGATATATATATATATATATATATATATATATATTACCTCTACTTATGACCAATAAGCTGTGATACTCTATTGAAATATAGAATATCCACCCTGCTTGGTCTTTATTGTATTTATCAGAAGATTCTAGGATTTTTGCTTTATTAAGTAATTGTACACACTTTGTTTTGATTCAGAAAAGAGTCAGGTTTATAAAAGTAAGAATTTATTTTATAAACAATTAAAGCATGACAAGTAAACTATGCATTTACAGTGAGTGGATGGAACTAAATGTGATGTGTAACTTTGTGTCAATGCGGTGTTAGTCAGAACCTCCTTATCTAGGAAAGCTGAGTTATGGATGTAAAAGAATTTGGTTTGCATAAACTATGAAGTTCTTATCAAAGACACATCAGACTCAATCTATCATGTCTACTTCACCCGTTTTGGAGAACCTCGTGGTGGATCTGAAGGTCACAGGGGTTGGCTGACCTCGGAGCACCCAGGTCCAGTAGACTGACCGCAAGTACCGATTTTCCCAGTCCCAAGATGTCATCAGACACACAGGTTGGACTAGCTTGCGTCTCAGGAGTAACTCTTAGAGAGTTTAACAATATCAGCTTTGTTCTGCAGGGACTGTTGTTCATCAGCTTCGCAGGTGCACAAAGGTTTTGACGACGTATCAAAATCTTTGATGGCTAAAGAGGTTTTGCTTCAGAGGGCCGGTCTGAAACTTTCTCTAGAACTGCTGAATCACACAGAGTGATCCAGTTTTAAAGTTTTGATGTTATTATTTCCACAGCCAATCAAAGGCTGACAGGCTTGAGGGATGTTACCAAGACAACTCAGAAACACACCTTCTTTGACCGGATGTTCTGATTGGGTAAAAGACTATTTATGTGTCAGAGTTTTATGTAACCTTACTTGTTATGGTGCGAGTGCAAATGTTATGACCTTTGCCATATGAACATGCGGAACCACATTGTAGACATAACATTCATTTCACACTTCAATCATTGAGCACAGATTAATTAATAATTTCATTATAATATAATTATTATAAGTAGCAATAAACAAACGTTTATCTAATGATTATCTAGATCAGGGGTGTCAAATATGCGGCCCGCGGGCCGTATCCGGCCCGCAAGCGGGTTAAATCCGGCCCGCGAGATGGTTGTGTAAACTTTATTTTCATACTTTACAATGTAGAGTGAAAATAAACGTATCTTTGTGAGCAAGTTTTCTCTGTAATGAGTATAAATAAAACAAAGCTGCGCTCAAGGCTCACACAGGAACTTGAATCACATCCTGAAGTTGGCTGCCACTCAGGATGTGACTCCTGATATTGATGTGCTGGTGAAAGCTAAAAGATGTAAAGTAAAATGAGTCAAATACACTTTAAGTGCTGCATGAAACTGATCTAGCCATGTGATCTGTAAGCTCTTTGGAATCACTAAGGAATGTTTTTTTATTTGTTGATTTTTTTATTTTTTCAAATTTTCAAGTACACTTCAGGTGTTGTACTTGTACTACACTGTCCTCAGGCCCCAGCCTTGTTTTATATTGACTGTATTAAAACAAAGAAAACAATCTGAAGTTTTTTTTTTTTATTTACCGGTCCGGCCCACTTGGGACTAGATTTCCCTCAATGTGGCCCCTGAGCTAAAATGATTTTGACACCCCTGATCTAGATTATAAGTCATGGAAGAAGTTCATATTGATTTAGGAAATCATTCTTGAATTTAGCAACTGATCCGAGCTGGAGTGTTCCTTATGTGGAGGCCGTGGGGAAGAAAGTTATTGTTGACATGTCGTTATCTGTTGTCAGAGCTGCAGAGTCTGTGAGCTCCAGCTGGTATGAAGGCAGGCTCATTTAAAGGGAACACATGCAGTGTTGTGTCTCCTGTTTGACCAGATGTTGAATAGATGTTGAAAGGTCAAACTGTACCTAAAACTGACCATTGCTGGACGTTACACAAGGATAAAAATATTAACACAGAAAGTGACTTTATGTTCAGTCAGTGACTGCAAGATGCTCAGGTCCTACAAACCAAACCAAAATCATCAGCCCTCCATCTTGCTGCCTTACAGCTGGTATATTTACCGGGTTTGTCAATGATTAAGCTCTGTGTATTATTACAAAAACCACGTTGAACAATTTAGTGATTTGATAGAGCAGGTGAAGCATAGGTGTTAACAGTAGATCAGTTTAAAGGAAGTTCTGCCTTAGCTATTTTATCTTTTATATTTTGCAGGCTTTGTGCTCCAGCACACCTGAGTCAAGTGATTTAATCACCTCATAACCATGTAAAGCTCTGCAGAAGCCTGTTATTTGCACATTCATTTAGATCAGCTGTGGTAAAGCAAAGGAAAACGCTTAATATTTCCTGGATGGCAGCCCTTGGGGACTGGAGCTGGTCATACTGTGTGTAAGGAACAACCAGCAAATGTAATCAGCAGAATTGGAATGCAGCCCTCAGATGCTTTGCCCTTTTCAAGTTTTTTTTCTTTCAACCGAAGAGGTCTGAGTGTCTTATGAATACAAATGATGTGATTGTGAATAGCTCCCAAACTAATTGATACCCAGCAGTAGGAAGAATTGCAGATTTCAACACATTTAAAATTTGTATCTCAGAACTTTTCAGGCTATTATTTAAAGATGATCTCAAGCTGTACATTGCATTAGTATCTAAACCTTGCAAAATACTGAAACATCAATGAGACTTGAGGTGTTATTTTTGTATTCTGTCAGTTTTAGATTTTGGAAAGTACAGATGAAACTCAAAACATTGAAATGCTCAGGAATCCTTTGCAGGTGCTTTTGATCGGTTAGCCGATTAGAGTGTGACACTTTGAGCACCGCTTCACAATATTGTCTGATATTTTGAATGTGGTGGCTGCACAGTGGTCAGAGCTGTTGCCTTGTAGCAAGAAGGTCCTGGGTTTGCTTCCCGGCCTGGGATCTTTCTGCATGGAGTTTGCATGTTCTCCCTGTGCATGCGTGGTTTCTTTCTGGGTACTCTGGCTTCCTTCCACAGTCCAAAAACATGACTGTTAGGTTAATTGGTCTGTCCAAATTGTCCTTAGGTGTGAGTGTGTGTGTGCATGATTGTTTGTCCTATGTGTGTCTGTGTTGCCCTGCGATGGACGACCCTGCGTGGACAAAGCGGGTTCAGAAAATGGATGGATGGATTTTGAATGTGGAGTTTTTATAAGCCGTATCTGGCTTTGCATGTAATATCTCTCATATGCTTCTTTCACTTTTAAGTTGAATTACTGAAATAAATAAACTTTTGAATCATATTCAAATTTTTTCGAGTATCGCCTGTAATTTTGATCCACGGTTCGAGAACCACTGTCACGTGCAGTATATGCGTGCGCCGCTAGGTGGCAGGAGTGTCCGTCTGGTGTCTGGAATTAGAGAGCGAAGAAGAAACTTGACGAAAGTAGGAAACAGAGCAAGAGAAAAAAAACCAACACGGGCTGTTTGCTGTCTGGCAACAAGGTTACACGTTTTTCTCAGAGGTACTAACGGCACTCGGTTTGTTTGAATCGCACACTGTAAGAAAATGTACTAAGAAGCAAGACTGAAGCAGCCCCCACAGGAGGAGGACACACGCTAACAACAGCTAGTCCAGGTGCTGTGACCAGCTTGAAGAGTTAGCTGCTGTCTAGCTAAAGATAATAACATTGTCTGCTCAGGTTATGTGGTCGTTTTACCTCAGTCTGAGGCTTTTTATGGGGAAAGTAGTGTCTGGATAGTCCGCTACAGAAAAGCTAATTTTAGCCATATTTGTAATCCTGCTTCCTCGTGCCAACACCCAGGCTGCTGCTAACGTCCGCCGTTCAAACTAAAACCTATGGTGCTTTTTACCTGTTGGACTAACTAGCTATTGTCAGAGCTCTCCATTTTGTCACTCTGGGTTTCAAAATCCCTTCCAACAACTCCATTGACAGACAAATTGTGAAGCAAATACAAATGTTTAGAAGGCTAGAACGTGCTACTTCCACACTGTTAAAGTATGTTTATTATTATCCGGTAAATTGAAACGATTATAGCTGTAGCTGGCTGAGGTGGTACTCATGTTTGGACCTTTTTTGTTTTGGCTGCTGCAGCAACTGGTTAAGATCTTCTAAAGTTACTCAATTTGATAAAAATTGTTCTCGTTGCTCAGTCTACCATCAGAATAACTGTCAGTGTCTAAATCTTTACTCTCTTCGACACATGGCTAGAATCTCAATTTTAATGCGCACGCGCCATGCCTGAAACTATAGTAATTATAGTGAAATAAAAAGAAGAGTATTATTTTTATATGTTGAATAGAAAGTGGCATTAAAGCGATTGGAAACATATCTGAGTTATATTTGGTTACGATCCATCACCCCTCTCTGAACTCTTTCTAAAGCAAAATGTTATAGCTGTGGTAAAATCAAAGACCTAACATTAAAACAATCATAATTTTATGCAAAGAGTGTTTTACTGTGTAACGTGTGTGTATGCTGCCACAAAACATGACCTAAATAGCATGTTTTATGTGTAAAATGTCTGAATGGAAAAATGTTGGATAAAAATGTCATAAAATCAAGAATACTATCTTACGTTGGCATTAAAGATTAAATCCTTACATTAAATAATTGCTAATCCAAACCAATCTGTTGTTTTTCAGGACATCATGGGAGCGCCATAAAAATGTTTTGACATAAGTGACTGTGGACCAGAGTCTTGTTTGAGGATCCTTGGTCTCATTAGACTTTGGGACTTTTGAGGCTGATTATGGATTTAGGAAATCCTCTTCCATGAAACTCGACAGATTTTGAATCTGAAAACACAAGAAACATGGAGAAAGAAGCAGCTGACAAAGAGATGGATGACGAGGAGGTTTCTAGCAATTTTGCCCCAGAAACTATTTTTTATCAGCGGCATGCCAGAGAGACAGAAGGGTACACTCAGGAGGACGGAGACACCTATCTCAAATCTCAGGAACCAAATCTAGTCGTCCAGGAAGACTCAGAAGCTGATGAGGAAGAGGAGTTTGGATCCACTGAGGCTAAACAGGATGCTGAGGAGGTTCTGGATGAGTTTGAGCATGGTGGGTGCGAAGAGCACGAGAACTCGCAGGTTATAAATCAAGAAGAGGATGAAGCCGCAAAGGAGCGGCACATGAATGGAGAGTCTGTCTGGAGAAGCATCGGAGGTGGAAAGAGGTGCAAGTTAAAAAGTGGATCAGTGTTTGAGCAGAGTGGCCAGAGTGCGTTTTCCTCCCTTCAGAGAGGCAGTGTTATGCCAGGTGGTGGTCGGCACAAGCAGACTCGCAGACGCAACCATCACCACCATCAGCAGAGCCGTGGTCGCCGGCGAACCGGAAACCAACTTTTCTTAGCTTTTAAAGAGATGCTGTCAGAGTCTCTGAGCTTCTGGTGCATCTCATGCATCCACATGTTCATCGAGATCATCGTGACATTAACGCACAACTGTGGAGTTGGAGTGGAGGCTGGAGTCATGAAACTGTACAACTTTGGGCTGCAGCTGCTTGTAAAGATCACTGATATACCTGGGATGAAGGCAGATGTCAGTCAGATTTTAAAACGGATCAAATGCACAGGAGCTGACCTAGTGGATAGGACTGCGAGATGCGTCAAGTGGACAAAGTCGGCTGTCTTAACTTGTTTCAGACTTTTCTGCGCTTTTGCTATGCTTAGCTTCCAGTGGGGAAAGCGTGTGTTACTCCGTGCTGGGGGGGAAAGAGGGAAGCGCTGTTGGACGGCTTTTCAGGAGTCAAGGTTTTGGAAAAGGCTGTTGTCTGTGCTGGACAGAGTCCAGACGAGGTTCAGTAGAAGCGGTTACACCTCGACACACTCGCCTGAGTCGCCCGGCAGAGCAGGAAGAGGTGAGCCGGGCCAGGAGTTAGAAAGACTGTTGGCCTTGGCTGAAGTCCCAGAGGGTGAGCTTGACCCTTTCACGGTGCTCGGTGTGGAGGTCCATGCCACAGAGACGGAGCTGAAGAAGGCCTACAGACAGCTGGCTGTCCAGGTGTGCAGGCTGGTGATGAGGGTATCACTCCAAAATGAATCAATGCGTTATTCTTCTTTGCCCAAATATTCCTTCTGCTGGTTCTCTTTCAGGTCCACCCAGACAAGAACAAACACCCACGAGCTGGAGAGGCATTCAAGGTTCTGAGGGCAGCCTGGGATATCGTCAGCAACCCTGAAACACGACGAGAGTATGAGCTGTGAGTCTGGAGAACAAAGGATACTAATCATGTGACTAAATAATCCCACAACAGAACCAGAAATGTAATATTTTACTGTTAAATTTGTTTTTTTTTTTTTTATTTGTTTACTCTTTGGCGGGTGGGGTAGTGTCGTTTTCTTAGATACATGAGATGGAGATCCTCAAAGTGTAGCTGGACTTGAAGAGTTCATTAAAAGACTCAAGATGCTCACATTTTCTTTCAGTAGTTTTATTTTACCTTTTAAAAAGGACAGCTTAATTGTTTTTAATGGGACCAGGTATCCGCAGCAACCCCTCCATCGGAAGCAAAAGCGGCGTGTAAAGTAATGGAGGCGTTTATCTGCAAGCTCCATTCCAACGGGGAGCGTAAGCGTTCCACAAAGTTGGTCCCGCGAGGTCACAAAATCACAGGAGTATGTCACAACACTCGAGATTTCTGAAGTTTAAACAATAACAAGCAAGGAGATAAATGGCAGCATGTGTCCAAAAAGGTCTGGTTTATTTTCTGCTCTGTCTACCTTGGTTACAGAGGTTTCACAGGAGATGCCGTACATTTTTTTTTACTAGTTGAAGAACGAGAAATTTGCACGACTTTAATTTTGAAAGTTTCTCAATGTTTTACACTGATTTCATGTTTAACTTCCTGCCTGGCTTGATCTGAACTGCAGAGTTTGTCATGCTCTGGAAGTGTGTAAAACATACTCGAAACATAAGCATCACGTCCTCATGCTTCTGGGACGCGACACTTCGTTGCCGGTGGAAAGGCACTCGTCCACTCTAACGGCGACTAGTTGCTGCTAAGTACGTTTGCTGCTGTTTTGTGTTTGGTGGAAAGTAGAGTTAGGGTGTTACCTGCTGCGACAGTGATCCCAGAGCTGGGTCCACATCCAAAACTACTCGTTTTAAACAAATGGTGTAAGTAAAAGTGTCATTCATTTCTAAAAGAAAGAATACAAAAGTAACTTGTACAAATCCACAACAAAGCATCCACATGAATAGTTTTTGAAGTTTGATTATTCTTTGGATAACATTTCCCGATTCTCGACTCTCTCCCTGACGCCTGATTCACACCGAGTACGTAATGGATGCAGTTTGAACTCCGTCACATCCGCACAGACCAAAAACCATTAAGTCCACTCAGAACATTCTCACCGGCTGCAGCGTGGACACTGAATTCCCAAAAGTTTCCACTTTTTTTGCCCAGATGCCACACCTGGGTTGTCATTAGGTTAAGGAAATTACGTGAGTCAGACAGGAAGTGAGACGTGTGCCAGCGAGGAGGTGCATCCAGTTTATTTCAGAATAAAACCTATGTCGCGTTTATTTCCCCAGCTTTTGTTATTATTGATAACCGTGATATCAGTTCAGTGCGATAGTGTGTCTTTAAACGTATTGTGTGACATTTCTAATCATTGGTGTTGTGGTGCGAGTCATTTTTCTGAGACGTTCAACACATGAACCACGTGTGAAAGGCAGTTCGTCCGTGAGCCAGACCGCATCCGTTCTGTAGCGGGTGTGAATCAGTCATGCTCTCCAAACTGAAGTCCTTCTGTCTGCAGCAGTCAAGGGTTTCACAGAAATCCTCTAAAAAAAACAAATGATCTAAAAGAACCACAGAGCGAGTCTGTTAACCCTCAGCTGTTTATTTGCATCACCAGTTATTTGTTTTCGTTCCCACTCAGAAAGCGCATGGCCGCAACCGAGCTTTCCAAGTCCATGAACGAGTTTCTCACCAAGCTCCAGGATGACCTGAAGGAAGCTATGAACACCATGATGTGCACCAAGTGTGAAGGCAAACACAAGTACGTGCGTCCCCGCCCAGCTGTGCCACACCAGTGTCATTACCCACACGGTAGCTGAGTCGGTCTCACGTAGCCTCACTGGTATTTGCCTCTCATCTTGTGTGTGCAGGCGTTTCGAGATGGATCGTGAACTTGCTGAAGCTCGCTTCTGTGCTGAATGCAACTGCTGCCATAGCGCAGAGGAGGGAGACCTGTGGGCCGAGTCGAGCATGTTGGGCTTACGAATCACGTACTTCGCTTGTATGGAAGGAAAGGTGTATGATATTACAGGTGAGCTAAAGCTTCTGTTTTGCCCATCAGTGCCACAAATAATTCCTGCTGTAGTTTGTAGAGATCATCCACTACCTGGATCATACGATGCTGTCACAGCGTAAAGAAAATAATTATAAATAATCATGTTTCCATTCAGGTGGCAGCAGAAGTGAAAACCAGCATGTTAGCTGCCTTCATAAAAACACCTGAAATAAGCAGAATAGTGGTTTTCATGCTCGGATCTTGTTCTGCTTTCTTTTCTTGCATTCAAATCTGTTTTACTTGCTCTCAAATAAACTCTTCTACTCTTAAATTCATCCATTACATTTTCTAGAGATTCAGCTGCTTTCGTCCCGCTCCTGCAGATTTATTTTCTGTGTTCTTGGATTGGAGAGATGACTGTGCCCCCAGCCAATAGGAAGCCAGATATGGTGCTGACCAATGGGCTCACTGCGTTCTTCTTCTGGGTGCGCTCGTTTTATTAGAGAGATAGGTGTACTTTATTGATCCCAGGCTGGGAAATTGCAGTGTAGCAGCAGCATTTCACGCATTAAGACAGTTAAAAACAATAGCAATATAAAAAAAGGCAGAAAAATGTTAAACATGAAAAGCACACTGACTGTACATTATGAGCCAGAGTTTAGTTGTTGCTATTGTGCAATGTGATGGCGTAAGGAAGACTTCCTGTATCTTTCCCATCACCAGCAGCGCTGTAGCAGCCTGTGGGAGAAGGTGCTCCTCCGTCTGTACTGTGTGATGGAGGGGGTGCTGCTCATTATCCATGATGGATTAAAGTTTATTCAGCATCCTCGTCTTCACCACGGTCTCCAAGGTGTCCAGTCTGAGACCAAGTGCAGACATAACATACTCTGTCAGTGCAGCTTTGGTGGTGGGAGTCGTAAAGAAATCTCAGTTAGAGAACAAAGGGTAAAGGACCTGAGTGAAGTTGGCCCCCCCACCTTCTTTCTGAGCACGAAAATGACCACTAATGGTCTGAAATTGACAAAATAATCTCTTGATTAAAGGCAGGACATTAATCCCATACAAGAGCAGGTTTACAAATTGAGCAGAAGTGTTGTAAATGAAGTACAGCTTGATATTAAATGGCTTGTAAGGACAACCCTAAAGTCTGCATCTTCTCATGTGGAAGAGTTAATCCGTTTTTCCACTGACAGTCTTCCCCAGGCTTACGTCTAGACTTTAACTGGGTCCTTTCTGCATCTCGATCCTTTACTTTTTCAGCCTTTGTGATTAAGATTTACTGCTGCCTTTGGGAGTTTTGTTCTGTTCCATGACCTAATTATAAACTAAGCCTCAGCTGGGGAACTACATGCTGTTGGTAATGGTGACAAACTGTAGCAGAACCAGATTCACATCGGAGTTCTTTAGACCAGCAGACTGTTGATGTTTTTATAGATGTGATCATTCTAGCTGAAAAGCAGTCAGGTGCATTAAGCTAGCAGCACCTGTTAGCTTCTTTATAAATATCTGTGAGCCGTTCTAACATATTCCGCTCTAATTCATAAATGGTCAGATGGGTCAGGGCTTATTCAGCTGAGTCTCTGATGCTGTTGTTTCAGAGTGGGCAGGCTGCCAAAGAATAAGCATCTCCCCCGACACCCACCGCGTCCCGTACCACATCTCCTTTGGTTCAAAGAACAACAGCAACTCCATGCGACACAGGTACGTACCTCAGGGACGGGCGTGGACATGAATGTGTTGTTGAGGTCCAGAGGTGCTTCTGCTGTCATCTTTTAACATTTTGTGGAGTGTTTGGTGCTGTAAATCATCTTTCAGTTCCTTTTTCTGCTGCATATTTATTTACAGGTCTGTGATGTTGCTGCTCCTGTTGTTGGTTCCTGTTTGACATTTATTAATAACCAGATCACACAAAGCGGCTGTAAGGAGCGATGTCTGGTTTCCCTGAACTTTGATTTTATTGCAACTTCTGTAATAAACGTAGCTTCTCCGTGACTGACTGACGTGAAGCAGTCTGGTTGACTTAGCTGGCAGTTGTTTTCATGGTGCTGATCCAGTCCCAAAAGACTGTTTAAACAAGGTTTTGTGCAAGAATCTTAGCCTTGTTTTCATGTTGCACAAAAGCTAATTTAGTTTAACAGCTGATTGCTGTTGTTTAGCGTGACCCTTTTGTACATTAATAAAAGATGTCGCCCTGCCTTCATCGGGTGTTGCTGAGACTTAATCAGTTACAGAGGATCCTGTTCCTGGTTATGGTTAGTCACTGGCACTGAGCTCCTAAACCTGCTAGAGAACGCTGAAGAGAAAGTCTTCTGGGTTTGTCATGCGGGGCTAAAATTGCATTTTTGTGTGTACTAAATAAAAAAAATCGACCTCAATAATGAAACGGCAGTAATAGACCGGCAATTTCCTCTGTGGGATTGTTGCACCTCCTGAGTTTTGACCGCTTATTTCATGTGTAGATGACGGTTTTTAGAAAACAAAAAATTTCTTCATCCTTGTTTGGACATTACTCTTTTATAAAGTAGCTGGTAATGTTTAGCTTCAGTCCTGTGGAGATCACGGCCGTCTTCTCGCTTATGTTCACGCAGAAACGTCTTTATCCACATTCAGTTATAGATGATCATGATCGGTAACTTAGGAAGTTTTCTTCTTCTTTTGCACATAACTCATCTTCATATTTAATCAAGTCAATATTTTCTTTATGCAGATGTTTTTTTTTATCTCTGAATATACAAATATTTCTCCTAGTTGCTTCCTTGAGGAGCCAACAGTAGTCTATGTTAGACTTTTGCCTTCAGAAGACGTTTTAGTTTAGTCAGACTGAAAGTTTCTGCTTTAACTTCTGCAGATTTGTTTATCTGAAAACTCTTTAACATGACTGGATTTGTTTTCTGGAAATACAAATTCTCAAATGGGAAAAACCCTTCGTTGTCCCTCGATGGGTACGTTTTGGTGTCACAGCAGCAAAAAGGACAATAAACAGTGTAAACAAGAAAACATAACAGAGAATAACTTAACTGCTTCAGAAATCTAAGTATTGACTATACAATAAAACTTCATCTGTGTGGGAAAAGATGGCAATCGTTTATTGTTTCAGTGTGTTTGATGAAGCCTGAATGTTTTGACTGTTTATGAAATCAGGAACAACAGTAAACTGCAGAAAATAAAAACCATCTGTGTTGATTTTTCCCAGGACCCCCTCGGAGCACGCCACCGGGCCTTCCAACCCGGCCGACCTGCAAGACTTCTTTAACAGAATGTTTAAGGGCGGACCTCCGACTGACATGACGGCCAACGGGAGCTTCTTCCCTTCGGGTTCGCCACCTCATCACCCCCCCGGAGCAGGAGCGAACCCCTTCCCCCCTCCTCCTGGTCAGACCGGCTTCTACATGCCGGGGGGACAGCGCCCAGACTCCAGCGAGACGTGGGCTGAAAGTGGCAAACCTCCTAGGAGGAGGAAGAAGGTCCGCAAACCCTTCCAGAGGTGAAGTCTATTTATCCGTGTGTCAAAACAACAACGCAGGGACACAATAAACCACGGCCATGTTTGTCTCTCGCCGGCCCGTTGGCATGCCAGGATGTGAAAGGGAGAAGGGTAAAAGGCTGCTCTCAGATCAGCCAGAGCAGAAAGAGACTGGGTCATACAGACGAGCCATTTGAGTGAATCTAAGCACTTGAAGCTGACGAAGTGACGGTGCTTTAACTTTCATTTCACCTTAATCTGTTGTTGGTCTTAAAGATGACTGTAGCCTTTAAAACTCAAGTCCTAACAATGCTGTAAGGAAACATTTGAACTTTTCATCATTTCCTGCCAAATCCACCGTTGCATGATTTATTTAGCTTTTTATTTTACGCTTTGGTCTACTCATTTTTTAATTTCAGGTGTGAGAGAAGGCTCATAGTCAGGAGTTATTGATCAGTGACTGAGAAATGAAGATGAGAATCTGGGCAGCTTGTGTGTGTGTGTGTGTCTGCTTCTGAAGCACTGCCTCCATCTTTGATTTATTAGGAAATGACCCAAGCCAGCCCAATGGGACAAATCTACCACACCAACAGATCTCAGATCAGTTCTACATCTGTTTCTTTGGTGACATTTGTTGATTGATGTAGCTAAATCAGCTTTTCCAGCTTTTATGGGATCTGTCAGAAACATGTCGGTAAATAAAACTAAAAGTTGTTGACAGGCTTGAAAACAAATTCAAAGTTTTCCTACATTTTTCTAAAATCTAATTTGTTGCACAATATTTTATACAAAGGATAATAACTGTAAGCCATCCTGGGTGTTATTACCCATAAAACTACATTCTCCAGTTTGGTTTCTTATCATTTTGCACTTTTATTTAAATACCGTTAATGCGGTTAAGATTTTACAGGTTTACGTTAAATCTAATTTAAATAAAAGAAAACCGTGGCCAGTGTTAGTTGCTGGTGAAAACATGAAGAATTAGCAGACATTTAACTAAAACTTTCATTGAACCTGCAGCTTAAGTAAAGAAGCGCCTTTATTGTTTACGTTTGGCTTAAGGATTGTGTGAAGTGTTTCATAAAGGGTATTTTTATATATTGGCATTAGAAGCTTTCTTCAGTATTTTTTTATTTTGGTCTTAATTTGCACACCCACCACTGCTATCACACCAGAGGGATCTTGAACGGTCATTAGTGATTTAGCCGGACTCCTCCAGCTGCAGCTGAGTAGGAGGTGTAGCTCCCTAAACTAGCAGCTCTCTCACAAATTAGGATATGTTTGTTTTTGAAACCAAAAAAGTATCTTCAGCCTCAGAAGAAATACGGTGACTTTTTTTAAAGACACAACGTGAGGAGGAGCTGATTTCAACAAATGCCGTATGTAGTTATTTACTAGTTGTAGTTAAAATAAAGAATCTACCCCAAACATTGCTCTACGATGATCCATAAATATCGTTTTTTGTGCACGTTGCGTTCAGCCATGTTCTCACTCGTTCAGGAAGCGGAGCGTCCACGTCATCCTTCGTGTTCAGCTGTTTTCAACAGTGTGTGGCTTGAGAATGTGGAGTGCTGTTTGTTTAAAGGTAGCAGTTCAGAGTTCAAGAAATGAGTGAAAGTGATCATATTGCAAAAGTGTTTCTTTTAACAAAATATGCATACTTATGGCAAAAAGAGAATATCTGACAATCATCAGGGTTTTTGTAGAGAAATGCAAAGTGAGTGATTGAAGTTTTAAAACCACTGTTGGATTTGTTTCCCCTGCTTTTCAAAATAAAAACGAGTTCCTTTGTCTACAGTAGTTCATGTTCTTATTATTCACACATCCTTTGTTGGTCATGTATGGGATAAGATATGTACCAAAAGGATCAACTAAAAATATATCTATATAGTGTATGGGATAAGATATGTGCCAAAAGGATCAACTTTTAAAAAAAATATATATATATATATATATAGTCTCAAACAGAATATACCTGAACAAAGCTATCAAGAATCTGAGGCAGTTTGTGTACACAAACTCACTCCAAACCTCCCTGACCAATGAGATGCAGGGTTTCCCCCAGAAAAGTCCAGCGGACTGCGGGAGTGGAGGGTTGCGTGTGGATCATTTCGCTACTGTTCATGGGGGGTGGGAGAGTGTGTGCACAGATCGCTTCGCCAGCCAAGCTTGTAAAGCGCTGGGGGAAACCCTGAGATTGAAGCACTGATCAACCCCTTCCTCTGAGACTTCCTTACAAAAGCAAAAATTCATAATTTTAACAGAATTTCTTTATTTTTAAATGTTTTGATATTTTCATTATATTTAGAAATTTCTTATATTTATAGAAAGCTTTTTTTGAAATTTAAATTTCATAGTTTATCTTTTATATTGTGTTTTTTATATTTATACTGGCCTCACTCAAGAGAAAAGCTTTTTAGCCATATTTGTCAGTTTTTTTTTTTTATTGTACAGCTTTAGGGGATGTCCTTCCCTTGAATGTAATCATTTGATCCAAGGGAAAGAAAAGTTTTATGATTATGTGGCACACTTAACTTTTTTTTTTTAGATTTATTAATTTTATCCAGTCATAATGCATACAGACACATGAAAAAGAAAATAATTATCTAATAATGATCATAATCATTAACACAATTCCAGCTTCCTCTTGTAAATAAGACAGTTTCTTTAGATATAACTTATGACTGAAATAGTACAGGCTGAAGTTAAACTTAATTAAGCCTACCCATTAACTCATTACAAGAAATCAACAGTGTCATAAATATAAACAGTTAATAACCATACAGTTATTACATACATCATCTTAGATTCAACAAAATCAATCAAGGTATAAACGTGTGACAAACCTAATTTTGTTTTGCTTGGTAATTACTTAGTTATTTTCAAAACACTTTTTGAATATTTTCAACAAGCAAATTTTTTTAAAACTTATCATCAAGGCTATTCCGTAAACTCACTCCTCCTACTGAAATACATCTTTATTGGTTCTAGTTTTCTTTATTTTGAAAACTTCCATATGTAACGCATCTGCTGCTTTTTGACATTGCCACTACGTCTAACATAAGTGGTGTTTTATTTAACCATCATTTCCACATCCACCATGTCCCAAACACGGTGAAACAAACTTCAAACCCAACGCTTGGAGTTTTAAGTGTAGCACCAGCTGTCTGGTGTTGCGCGCTGCAGCAGCGTCAATATTTCTGGCTGGATGAGTGAATTTCTTCAGAGATTCTGCTTCGTAATCTGAGTCAGTCATGACCAGACAGAGATCAGTCAACAAACCCCAGACCTGCCGGCAATTGTAAGTTTTATCCCTCTATTCGCCTCCTCTCGTCCTCTCCCCTACCGGGAACCTCTCGGCGGGAGGCAGTTTTCAAACTCTTAAGAACTACGAAACTTTCAATATGAACACACCCACAAGTGTTGCTCACCTATACACATCTCCACTATCTTCTGGTGTACAGTAGTAACTTCATGAGGGATCATAGTTGTAGCTGTAGCTCAAAGTCAGCAATGACGCTTGTCACAATATTGCGACTTTAGCACTTAAAAGAGTTAATTGATTTTAGCAAATGGCTACAATATAACAGTGAAAAATTGATGGGGTCAGGATACTTTTCGTACCCACTAAATGTGAAATTCATGCCACATATCGAGATTAGAAAATAGCATTTTAGCCCCATTGACTTGCATTCATTTTTTCATTCTTGCAGGGACCGAAGGTTCGGAAGTAGATGGGCGTGACTTAGGCTCCCTATTGTTTTTTCCAGTTGCTTTAGATATTTTGGATGGGACTGTAATTTCTTTGGTTGATACTTTTGGCACAAATCTTCTCCCATACATAGTTTATGTTGTAGCACATAAAACATTTTACACGTGTATTTTTAACCCTTCAACACTAACGTTAAAATTATTAACGCTATCACTAACATTGGACATTTTAGCTGATATAATATCCCACATAAGTTTCATCAATTTATGTAAAAAGAACAACACTGTGCCAAACTGTAGTACAGTACTCTTTATACAATAACACATACAATAATAAGGTATCACAGGGACCATTTAAAAAGGCAGCAAAATTATTTTAAAAATCTGGTAATTCTTGATGAAAAACTTCCAAACCTCCCCAAAAATCCATCCATTTTCATCCGCTTATCCGGAGTCGGGTCGCGGGGGCTAAGGCGAGAGGCCCAGACTTCCCTCTCCCCAGCCACTTGGGCCAGCTCCTCTGGGGGAATCCCAAGGCGTTCCCTGGCCAGGTGAGAGACGTAGTCCCTCCACCGTGTCCTGGGTCTACCTTTAGGTCTCCTCCCGGTTGGACGTGCCCGGAAAACCTCACCAGGGAGGCATCCAGGAGCTCTCTCTTCACCACGACAGACCGGTACAACGCCCGCATCACTGCAGATGCAGCACCAATCCGCCTATCAATCTCACGCTCCAGTTCCCTCACTCGTGAACAAGACCCCGAGATACTTAAACTGCTCCACTTGGGGCAGGACTTCATCCCTGACCCGAAGAAGGCATTCTACCCTTTTTCAAATCAAGACCATGGTGTCAGATTTAGAGGAGCTGATTCTCATCCCAGCTGCTTCACACTCGGCTGCGAACCACTCCAGCGAAAGCTGAAGATCACGTTCTGATGAAGCCAACAGGACCACATCATCTGCAAAAAGCAGAGACCTGATCCTCAGGCCACCAAAACGGATGCCCTCCACACCTTGGCTGCACCTACAAATCCTGTCCATAAAGGTTATGAACAGAATCAGAAACCACATTGTTTCTCCTGAATCTGAGGTTCAGCAATCCGACGGACCCTCCTCTCCAGAACCCCTGAATAGACCTTACCAGGAAGGCTCAGGAGTGTGATCCCCCTGTAGCTGGAACACACCCTGCGGTCCCCCTTTTTAAATAAGGGAACCACCACCCCGGTCTGCCAGTCCAGTGGGACTGCCCCCGATGTCCACGCGATATTGCAGAGCCGCGTCAGCCAACACAGCCCCACCACATCCAGAGCCTTAAGGAACTCCGGGCGGATCTCATCCACCCCTGGAGCCTTGCCACAGAGGAGCTTTTTAACCACCTCAGTGGCCTCAGCACCAGAGATTTGAGAGGCCTCCACAGAAATAATAATGAGCTGGGAACTTGTTCTTCCACACATTCCGGAGACATGTGAGCCTCATCTGGTGAAGGCAGTCTTCCCGCATCACTAAAATCTACCCGTAAAATGTGTTACCATCACGAACGTTTGGTGAAAATCACACAAATCCAAGCCTTTTGAAAAAAAACCATATATGGGAGGAGAGAAACAAACATACCATTAATGACATCAGTGAGCAGCCTGAAGTTACCCAAGGGAGGATGTTCATGCACATTACAAGTTATCTCCAGAAGTTCGAGTCTCGTCTAATTCTTCATTTGAATGTAAACACCCTCGACTCTCTGTCTTAACTCAGCTTTTCCACTCGCTGACCTTTACCCGACTGCTAACGGGGCCAGGCCACCGGTAAATCTGCTCCTTACAAGGAGCTGATTCAGACAACCGGAGTTCACCGCCGACTTTATCCAGCCTTTGCTGTCAGATTCAGGACAAAATCTAAAAATGCAACGTTCCCACCCGCAGTGCTTTCATGTTTACATTCAGTGTTTAAGTTGGGTTGTCTGATTTCTAATCTTCAACCACAAATACACATTTTGTCAGTAAAAAGTTACATTCAAAGTGATTAATCTGAAAGTGAAAGAAGACTTGGTGAGTTAACAAAAATTTGAAAACTTGTTTTTATTGCTGCTTGCCAATGGTGCGTTCCTCGACCACACAAAAATCTGATTTTTGAGCTTTCGATAGGCCAGTCATTTTAAATGCTGGCTTTTCCCTGCATTTAAGAACACAACTCGTCACAAGACAGGCTTCTTTTAAAAATAGCTTCTTCTATTCTAGTTTTGGAATAAATATGCAAACTTGAAGGTTGAGCACTTGTTTCTCCTGTAAAAAATAAAACTTACTGTGTGTATTTAAATATTAATTTAGCATTTTTACATTTATTTTGTGGCATATTTACATACATCTACTTTAAAAGTAGAATTTATGACGTTTTGCATTAAAGCCCACATACCTCCTTTTACCAGTGGTTCCTGGGCCCCCTATCCATCATGATTTAGTCGTTTTCCAGCTCCAACACACACGGCTCAGTGGTTGATTTGCCTGTTCAGCTGGTTGAGCTCTCAGATAAAAATCAGGCACGCTGGAACACAGAACACTCAAACAGGCTTGATAGGGGCACTGGAGGACCTGGGTTACCTTACACTAATAAAAAAACAAGAATAAAATCGTATATGGAACTGCTTCGGTTTGTGTTTACCACTTCTGTTTCCCATTCAGTTGGACTTTCAGAGCACTGATGATGCTGCAGAGCTGAGTGCGGTCTCGATACGCCACCAGGCCGCCGTGATTAGCCCAGCGCTCTGCCCCTATGTGCTCATCGCTGGGCTGGTGATAAGTCAGTTCTGTATTTTTACTCTCTGTTCCACAATCAGCCTGAAGACACTTATTCAGGTTTACCACCCCCCCTCCGAAGGTCCGGAGCAAGACGTGTGGAGCGCAAGAATCCCACTTAAAGGTGCTTCCCTCTGACAGGACGTAAGCATCAGCCAGGCCCAGGATGACGCACAGCATCTTGTACCCAGCTCCAGAGGCGTACATCAGCTTCTCAGAGCCGCACAGGGAGCACAGAGCCTTCTTCACCTCCTTCTTCTCACTGGAGCTCAGCACTACAGACGGGCACCACTCGGCCCCGGCTTTGGGCTTCGGCAACGAACAGACATTATGGCCGTAGCAGGTCACACCCCAGTACAGCTTCCCTCTCCACCTGGGAAAGTAGAAAAGTCTCAGAGTCTGAGTCATTCAGGCCATATTTTCTTGTTTTGTGGAAATATTTCTAACAAATCTTTCACAATTTATGAAAATATTGCAAATCGTATAAGAGTTAGAACTATGACAGTTTAAGAAATTAGAAAACAGGTAGACTTCTTTGTGTTTTTAATTGTAGAAAAAATGCACAAAAGTCAGATTTTGAGTATTTTTGGACAAAATCAGGAGGATGTTCTAAGCCTCCTAACAAGATTTGATTTAAAAACTATCTTGGTTGAGATTGTTTCTTTAACAGGGTTTCCCTGTCTGAACTCACCTTCTGCTTTGTGGATCTTTATGATAAAAGGGCTGGTTGATGATACCCATGACGGGCTCGCCCGTACTCCGGAAGTAAACACCAATCAGAACCAGCGCGCAGTGCAAACCCGAAGGAGACAAGCACCCCTCCTCCAGCACCTCCTCACGGCCCTCTATGTACTGACTGGTGGCATCTTGGTCAACAAAAAGAAACAACGTTGTTCGGCTTTTATCAGGTGTTATTTTAAAGGAGATTCCAGAGAAACACCTCTACCTATAGGGTCGATCCAGATGCCAAGCTCAGATGGCTCGACGGGAATAAACACGTGTTCCGTGTCAGCTTTGATGGCCTCTGGGTCTTGGTGGATGGCTTGAGCCAGCAGGGACGCGGCCTTGTGGTCTTTATCCAACACCTTGGCCAACAGGTCAGCAGTATCCTTCTCCTTGTGACACACCGTGACCGTCACGGTCTCCCCTGGTTACACAGCAAACATGGACAACCTCGCATGTTTAAACAGCACGAGGAGCGGCTTGTTTCAATATTTGAACAGTGACACACTGAAGTGTTGGCGTGTCATATGCCAATCCGTATGTTAGAGCCCTACAGGTGGAAGTAATTACCAAGTCCATTTACAAACGTGTTCGACTCCTCTCCACGAATGAAGCTGCCCATTTCTGGAAACTGCACCAAAACCAAACAAAACCAAAATTAAACCCAACTCTGTTTCACCTAGGGTGACCAAATGTCTTGCTTTTTCTTTACTCTTCGCACGTTCTGCAAAACGAGACTCTGTCCCGCATTATTGACAGTCCCATTTCAAATTTAAATCTTGCATGAAGCTGCCCGTTGCTTTCAAACTAGGAGGTGGGACTTTAATGCAGGTCCGGAGCGCATTTCCCAGCAATTAGACAGGCTCATGCTAAAACCCTAACACTGACAAGGTTCTGGGGTTGGATTGTTTCCAATACACGCCAGCGGTCTGTCTATGGTATCAAAAAAGCTGATGGATTAAAATAATTTCAGCTAAAAGTATTCAGAGCTACTGTAGAAGGTCCAAAGAGCCAGAATGAAGCTGTGAAACCCTAACTGAAATAGTAAATATTTGCTGTTTGCTTGTTCAAGATAAATTCAAATAAACCCTATAGTACATGACATTTATGAAGATATTATTTTATTTACCTAAAAGACAACAGCATTTTTTTTTTTTTTTTACTTGATCTCGTTGCTCTGGAATTTCACGCTGTTCCACATGGAGTAATCTCTCTCCCATTTAGCGAGTTGATCTGGTCACCCTAGCTTGACCGTGCTTGGATCATGCTTTTAACTTCTCTCACCTCAGCTACCACATCATGCCGGATCATCTCCTGGATCACCACATCGGCCAGTGTCTTGAAGTCCTGCACAAACTTCTTGTTTTTGTCATCTCCGGTCTTCTCCTGGACCAGGAGCTGGAAGAGATGAGCCTCCTGCCTGCAGACCCGAGCCACATTTGCAGCTTTCTCTGACAGCTTGAGCAGCAGCCTCAGCAGATCAGCCATGTCTGGACAGAAGAGAGGCCGTGAGGGTGGTGGAAACTCTTCTGTGGACGAGAAGGAAGAACAAAGACAGATTTGCACAGGCAGCGCTAATTTTAGCCTCAAAATGAAAACAGGGCATATCTGAGTGATAGGAGGGAGGGATGTGGCTTCAGAGCTTTGCATCGGAAACACACACACACACACACACACACACACACACACACACACACACACACACACACACACACACACACACGAGTGATTATTTAATACTTTTTGTTCCAGAGTCGTTTTAAAACATAGCCTAGCCTATATAGTATTTGAAAAGGAAACATAAACCTAACTTCCATGAAAGTTAAATACTTAATCTTATTTTTTGTTAATTTTGACCGGATAATGACAAAGTCCCTCCACTCGTCTGCATAGCAAGTTAACGGTTAGCTTAGCATTTACCAGACAACATTTAAAACAGAAAATTAAACGTAAGAAGACCAAAACTACCACGAACGACCCCAAAACCCCTCACCAGTTTCTGGCGTATACCCTTCCTCTCGGTGGCTGCTGTCCTGTCAGATAGCTACCGCAGACAGACTCCTCTGGGCGACTGTGAGCAAAGACGGTGTGGAGTTTCGCTGCGTTTATAATATGAGGTCTTCCTGCGCTGGTTTATTTCCGCTAATTTTCCTACAGCGGTATTAGCAGACGCCCTTCTCACGTCTGGGCTGTGAAACACAAGGCGTAGACAAACACACAGCAGAGAGCAGCACGAGCACGGAGAGATGGTGAAGAAGGTACAGACAACGGGAAACGCGTGGTGCGTTCAAGGTACACTTTGGAAACTATAACTGTAGAGTTTAAACGTGTCCTTAATATAATATAATATAATATAATATAATATAATATAATATAATATAATATAATATAATATAATATAATATAATATAATATAATATAATATGAGTGAATGAATGAACTAATGTTTATTTATATGGCGCTTTACACAACCCAGAGGGAGATCAAACTGCTTTACATTAAATATGGGAAAAAACAACAAAACAAAAAAATTAAAAACCACAGCAAACAAGCAAATTATCTGAGCCAGTTTAAAACTATTTAAAACAAATTTAAAAGTAATACAAATTAAATCAATGTAAATATTTTTTTAAAAACCACTACAAAATAGTAAAAAGAATAAGCACAGTTTACATCACTTCATGAGTTTCAAAAGCCATGTGAAATATAATAAATATATATACATAATTTGGGAAAAGTGTCAGATTTTCACTAACTGTTCATACATGTTGATTACTTCTTGTTTAAGTTTAAAATGTCTACACCCACTAGTGACCGGATAGAGAAAGTTGTTTGATCTGTTCTACATCTCAGGGATGGTGGTGATAGTGATTTTATATTGTGTGTTCTTTTCTTTTTATAACAGCTTTTTAAAAATCTATTTAACACAGCTGTTCATTCTGCAATTATAACTAAAGGAATGATAACTTATTCACCAGTTTTTACTAAATAACTATTATAGAGGCACCACAGGCCGAGTGGCAGGGCAGGCAATTGCTTGGGGGGCCCATGCCTCAAGGGCATCAGGTGATTAACAAGCTTCTGAAAAGCTTGATGAGCTGCTGCTCCATCGTGCTGCACATGTGATTCAACCACTGAATCAAGTAGGGTTGTCACGGTAACCGGTATAGCGGTAAACCCCGGTAAAAAGGTTGACAATAAAAATAACCGTCCAGTTTTTAAAAAACTAAATTATCTCGGTGGGTTTACCGTGGCCGCGGTTTCGGCGCGGTGACCCTTACCAGCCACCGTCGCTTCAGCTGAAGTTCCCGCGGCGCGCACACGCACTTTTAGTTTGCAACGGCACCAAAACTTTGAAGCTGAAATAATGGCCGAAGGAGGAGACGGCAGCGCCCAGGACATCCATCAGCCCTCAAAGAAGACTAAATCGGAAGTATGGGCATATTTTGGATTTCTGAAAAATGCTGAGGGACAGTTAATAGAAGACGGCTATCCCTTTTGCAGAACGTGCAGGAAACAAGTGTCTGCAAAAGGCAGCAACACTTCGAATCTAATGGAACATCTGCGTGACCATCACCCACGTCTCTACAGCCAGTGCAAGGTAAGTTAACATTAGCATTTTAGCTTAAATGCATGACGTGAGGACTTTTGGTTGAGGGAGAATGCAACGAGTCACTATATACTGCAGCTGCAGCGTCCTCTGCCAGCATTTAAACCGTGTCACGGACACCCTGTTGCTGGATGAAGCATCTTATTTGTTGATGATGAAGAGAAATATACAATTAGTTCCTTGTCATTGATTTGTTTACTTATTCAATGCCATTTATACTTGAACATTTGGATTTGATTACATAGTGTAGTAGTTATTTTAGTAATTTGTTTAAAGTGGCTATTTATTTTAAATACATATTTTTTAAGGTTGACTTGTACAGTGCTCAAGTCAAGTGTGGACTGGAGTTTTAGATTTTCATTTTGATAATGAAGAAAACAAGTATATGAGAAAACAAGTGGTGTTTCTTTGATTTGTTTACATATTGTTTATGTTTTGAATGTTTGGATTTGTATAATTTAAACCTGCACTGACTACTGTAACATGTTCCAGAAAAAGAAGCTATTTGTTCCTTTACTTGTGAAAAGTTGCACTTTTGCTAAGGCTTTGTGTTATTTTAGGTTTAATAAACACTGTTAAACCTTTTCAAAACTATTTCAGTTTGTGTAGAACAGGACTATCAATGCTTTCTGAACATATGCAACACCGTTTGAAAAATACCGCGATAATACCGAAAACCGTGATAATTTTGGTCACAATAACCGTGAGGTTAAATTTTCATACCGTGACAACCCTAGAATCAAGTGCAACATCTTTTCAAGTTACTTTTTTCCCCAGAACTTTACTAAACAAAGGTAAGTTGCTTGTTATTGTGTAAGGAAGATGCTTTTTACTGACGCACAACGTGCTAATCTAGGTGCTGTGGCAGAAAACAGAGAAACCAGCAAAGACATAAGGCAGAAACCATCCAAGGTTTGGAATCTTAAGTTGAACTACAGGCAGATTCGGTAATGTTAGCCGGTAGCAGGCACACGATCTAGTGTGTTCCGAAAAAACATGATGATCATGAAATTAAGCACATCTAAACTCTACAAGCGTAAGAAAAGTGCCCGTCATCCTGTTAATTAGCTGTCTACAGCGCTATATGGAGCAGAACCGCTGCAGTCCGATTGCTGCTTCGAGTCTGCTCTGCTCAACATTGCTGCAGGATTATGGCAGGCTATTGTAGCATGTAATTCAGAAACATCCATCTTTAAACATATTTTGAATTGGGTCATAGCTAACCCGTACATGATAGATATGGCACCATTACATTTTTAGCAGTAGAAATTAGCATTTCCGGTAGCTTACTACTGAACATGTTTATGAAATACACTGATCATAGTTGAATTATGGTTATATTTACCTATCGAGATGTTTTCTAATCATGTTCTGTTGTTAAAGTAAAGGAAGGAGATAAAAAATGTTTCCATAGCAGGTTTTTAATTTTTCCATTTAATTAATCGATTAATCAAGTTGAGAGCCCATCCGATTCATTGATGATCCATGATGCTGCAGCCCTTACCAGGAGTCAGTACCACTGCTTTTGGCCATCTTATCCCTAACAGAGTTCTCCCCCTCCCTCTTTTTGCTAAAGCCTGATTTCTACTTTTCTGTCTGCAACAGCACGGAGACATGCAATGCCATGATGCGTCAACTCAAGGACTCTGTGGCAGGTCCACAGAATTTGACAGAGTCATGTCCAGCTTTTTTAACTTCCCGACAAAAGTGACAGAGACTGCAAGCCTGTGATTGGTCTGAAGGCCACTTCCTTAAAATTCATCAACAGAACCCCAATTCTCCCCTAAAATTACTAAAAAGGGTACAGAAGATATCCAGTGGCAGACATGGAGCAGATAGAAGAAAATTGCACGGAAAAAATCTGACTATTTGAACATTTATACACTTGTGACTGAAAGAGTTCAAAGATGTGCAACAAACTTTTTATTCATGAAAGGAAATTTCATGAAATGTGGGTTTGGAGGTGGCGACTGCAAGAAGAGGTGGAGGAGTTACAAAGTCTCTGAAAAACATAACCACAACGTTAACACACAATCGTAAATACACCACCGAGACCCCCCAGAAAAGCATTACACCCGCTGTTGTCCTGACGGGGATTTGTTTGCAACAGTCCCTATAATAGAGGTGCTGGAAAAATAGATTTACGTCCAAATTGAGAATCTTATTTATAAAGTTTTTAAAGATTCTGAATTTATGCAAAATGTCCAAGTTTTGTCACTTGAGAAGGCATTTTCCAAACATTTGCTAGCTTATTCGCTGCTTGTACTGTTTACCAGTCAACACCTTCCATACTGCATCATTCTAGCGAGTGATGCGTGGACTTCCAGAGCAACCTACTCCTTCATCACATTTACAGCTTACTACATCACAAACACCTGGCCAATTTCTAACTTACGGAAGAAAGTAGTTGATCCTGGAACTGACATTGTTTAGTCCTTTTTATAAGATACACCATGGCGAAAAAATCTGCAAAATGGTGTGTCTTATAAACGCGCTGTGATGGCATGGTGTTGCGGGAATGTTGCGGCATTCATGCAGCCATGCTTGGTAGTAAAATTGCTGCAACGCCAGACTTGGGAATGAATTTTATGCCTTGGTACAACAGAGGGAGGTGTAGTGATCATGTTGGGAATTACTGTTGAGCTCTGGCCTTCAACTATATTAAGGTTCAAAGTAAACACGGGCAGTGAGTTTCCTTTTTGTAAACAGAACCAGCTGAGATGATAAAATGGAGCAGAGCAGAGCTCCAAGAGCTTCTCTCCGTTAGAGCTGAAGCTCCGATCGCCATGCTGCACTGGGACTGTGGAGAACAGACACATTTAGGATGTTAAAGAAAACGCAATGAGCATGCTGCCATCGCCTTTTGTAAAAAGGACACGATTGTTCCACATTTCCGCCACAGTCTGACAACTTATAAACGACCTAAAGCTCCCTGATGCCGGCCCAGCGTTGCAGCAAATTGGCTGCATTGTTTTCCAAAAGAGACTTTAGATACTAAGAGTACTGATTGTGAATCAATTTGAATCAAGAATCGATCCTGAAACGAATTTTCACCCCAGAGTCGGAATCAAACTGAATCGTGAGTTGTTGTAAGATCCACACCCCTACTCCCTAGACAAGAGAAGTCTGCAAGAAAAACATTAATGTCTGTGTGTGTTTGACTCTGGTTCAAGCTGTGTGTTGCAATGCAACCATTATTCAGCAGTGTGAACAACAATGGACTGAGAATACAGCCCTGAGGGACCTCTGTCCTTGTCAGATGGTGGGACATCTTTGGCTACGTGATGTGTTAAAGATGCTGGTGAAGACATCAGCCATTTGACCAGCACAGTCGCTGAGCACATGGCCTGGGATGTTGTCTTGTTGGCCTTATACAGATTTGATTGAACAAAAAGAGTCTAATCATTGTTCAAAAGGAGTATTATTTTACTAACTTGTTTAAGAAGGCCTACTTGACCAAAAGCAATTGTGACATTGATTTATAGAAGAATTAAATGCCAGTTAAGATGAAAATGTTTTAATATTATATTATTATTATGGTAAATGGTAAATGGCCTGTATTTGATATAGCGCCTTCTAGAGTCCTGGAACCCCCCAAGGCGCTTTACAACACAATCAGTCATTCACCCATTCACACACTGGTGGGAATGAGCTACAATGTAGCCACAGCTGCCCTGGGGCGCACTGACAGAGGCGAGGCTGCCGAGTACTGGCGCCACCGGTCCCTCCGACCACCACCAGCAGGCAATGTGGGTTAAGTGTCTTGCCCAAGGACACAACGACAGCGACAGACTGAGCGGGGCTTGAACCTGCAACCTTCCGATTACGGGGCGAGCACTTAACTCCTGTGCCACCGTCGCCCCACCGTCAGATCAAAGAAAATACTATTATTATTATTATATTATAGAAAACGTTTGATTGTTTATGCAGCAACTTTGTCAAAAATACACCAAAATAAAATAAACTAAAAAGTTGAAGTTAAACTTGCAGTGCAGCCTGTAACAATGATGCATGAACCCTTGAATTATAATCGTGCAGATAAAAATTTAAATCTCTGACAATTAACAGGCACAACAGAATTGTGATAATATATCAATGCCACGCAACAAGACTACTCGAAAAATGCATTTATTTTTGTTTAAGCAAAATACAAATTTTTAAATTTTAAGCATTTCTCTTTTGCAGCAATTCAAAGACAGATGTGCTTTGTGTATTACATGACACATACAGCAGCTATTCAACAAAGATGGAACACTAAACAGAAAGAAAATACTTCATTATTTTGAAAATGTACAAACCCACTTCTTTAAACCATTCATCATCATTCATGAGATTTGGACACATCAGCCCATTGTGTGTAAAACTAAAATGTCTAAACTTCTATAAATCTCTTGTGTTCACGTTACTTCCCGAAAGCACCATCTATCATCATGCGAGTGTCAGACTCTGTATTACTTTATGGCGTTTAGAACGTAACAATCAAAGCACTTTAAACTGCTCGGCTGCAAAACAGAGCTTTCCTGTAGGATTGTAGTTCTTAATTCAAATGTTGAAAATGAGACCATCTGAGTTGCAAAAGCCAGTAAGTTAGTGTTAGGAACCAACTGAGTGGATAATTACAGACAGGATAACGCCCTGTCCTACAGGCTCTGCTCAGGAAATATAACAAAGCAGCTGAGCCACAATAATTACATCTGATGGTAGATTTATTAGAAGAAAGAGGCTGAAGAACATCCTCATTTAAGTTTTGCTACACCAACAATCTTAAGCCACTGCTCTGATCAAAGTCTTTGACCTCATCGGAGGTCTTTGAAAGCAACGCCACAACATCCTTCATGTGTTTCGCTTTTGAGGCTCACAGACCACAAATATGAAGCTGAGAGCAAATCTGATGAATATTACAGAAAGGCTAACTTTTAACAATAGTTCTCTTGCTGTTATTTGACTCAGCATTTCACAGTTGTTTTGTAATCAAATTCTTTGCAAATAGGCAATTTGCATTTGCTAAATGATGTGCTGCTGTGTTGTTTTCTCACACAGAGATGACATTTCTATCCTGGCTAAGGCATTGTGCGATAAAAGTGGTCAGGATTTTAACAGTCATGAAGATTTATTGTTTAAGGAGTATAATGGTTATGACATCGGTGAATTAAAAATAAAATGAAATAAAATTTTATTTGCATCATCTTTTATGTCCTAAACAAACTGCTGCACAGAAAATATGTCAGGAATTACTGGATGTAATGTTTTACTTTACTATGTATTGTCTAAAAGATAAAAGTAAAACTTGTTTTGCTTTTTAAAATCATTTGACACAGTTTTATGTGTGATAAAAACATTTGGTTTATGTCAGTGCATGTTTTGTGGTTGACCTGCAGGTGTTAAGCAAACTTTCAGATCCAGTGAAGTAGGATTCTAAAAAGGTTATGAATAATTTACAGTTTTACCTGCCATAGCTCTCAGAACAACCTCAGTTTAGTGAAACAGAGTTTAACTCTGACTGGATTGACAGGATAACGGCTAGTCTGACCGGGTGCTAAAACCAGAGTGAATTCCTGAGGTTTTAAAATCTGTAATTTTATTTCAAAAACATTTTAATATTCCCAAACTCTTTGCATTTAGTAAGACATCATTTATATATAAAGGAGAATTGTTTTGGATTAATTAAAATCGGGAGGTTGCAGGTTCGAGCCCCGCTCAGTCTGTCACTGTCCTTGAGCAAGACACTTAACCCGCCTTGCCTGCTGGTGGTGGTCGGAGGGACCGGTGGCGCCTGTGCTCGGCAGACTTGCTTCTGTCAGTGTGCCCCAGAGCAGCTGTGGCTACAATGTTGCTCATCATGAATGTGTGAATGACTGATTGTGTTGTAAAGTTCCTTGGGGGTTCCAGGACTCAAGAGGTTGCTATATCAAATACAAGCCACTTACCATTTAATATCACATTCATCTTCAGTCATACAATTGAAAAAAAAAATTAATACAGTAAGTTAAAACTTTAAGTTTCAGGAAGTTTAAAAAATATTAAACGTAAGCAAAATTATGGACATTAATGTTGACTATTTAATATTTTGTTTTGCAACCCATAAATATTTAAGCAGATTTGTTAAATAAAACCTACAGTGCATGTTCCCCAGGCTGCACCAGAAGTGCTATTAGCTGCTAATTCAGCTCATCAAGCTTCCAAATAATGTTATTTCTAGTTTTATATAAAACTGATGCAACCTATCCACCTAATCATCTATTGAGTAGTTTTTCTAGTTAGCTTCCAAGTTTATTCAAATCTAATCTCTGTTTCTCCAAACAAAGGTTGATCAACAAGGATCACTTTTTACACAACTTCAAAAGAACCAAACCATTCCTTTTTGACTTACATGCATCCAAACAAAGATAACGGAAAAAATGAAACCAATGAAAACCCACGCATTGTACGTACACACACGGGGGGGGGGGGGGGGGAAATGACACATTCAATGAGCTAATTGCTTTAAGCTGAAGCTCCGACTGCTGACATCCATTAGACATGCATTATGTAGTAAGTGGCAGATGAAAGGACTTCATGTGGTCGATCAATACAGCTCCTTGTCCACAGTGTTGTGGGCGAGGTCGACAACACACGACTATTTAGTCTGCAGTTGCACTCAGGATCCTAACAGGACGAAGAAGCTGCTGTCAATGGAGGTGAGAAGTGTTCCAGATTTCTGATTTTATAACCATTTTTTAACCAAATGAAGCATGCATGTGATAACAGAATAGTGGTACATGTTAATGGGAATTGTTATTTTCTGTTGCAGGCCTCAAAGGACGATATGTCAGACCTGGAGGATGGCATGGTTACGATTGTCCGGGTCTTCCACAAGTACTCGGGTCACAGCTGTAAACTGAAGAAAGCACAGCTTAAAGCGCTCATCAACAATGAAATGAGTCATTTCATAATGGTGAGTCATGGATCTAAAGTACGACACGTATTTTAATCTTATGTCAGAAAAACCTTAACCTGCTCATCAGCTTTAGGTTCTGGTGCAGAATTTTATTTCTCTCCAATGTTTCGTTTCATCTCTTTGAAATGATTCTGCTGCCCATCAGAAAATCCAGGAGAATGATGTCCTGGATGAGCTGTTCGCTGATCTGGATCAGAACAGGGACCTGGAGATCGACTTCCAGGAGTTCATAGCCCTCATCGCTATGGTCACATCAGCGTGCCACGAGTTCTTCAGCCCGAAGCATCACGATGATTAATCAGCTGCTTGGCCCGTTCACTATTTAAAGAAAACAGAATGTATGATGATTATTGTTTAAAACAATTGGCAGCTGGATTCTTGTTTTATGTTGTATCTTATTTATTTGTGTTGAGACTGGAGGGCTCCCGGCTGCCACTGAGAGTTCCAGGAGACCCTGAACGCATCGCCTGATGATCACAATGTTAGATTACTGAACAAAATTAAATAATTAGATCTGAGGGTTGCAAACTGTGGTGTAGTTTCTGTTAATGGGACACTGAAGAAATATTGTGCAGTTTAAGTACAATTCAGTGTGTGTTGGTAGAAGAGGACTGTTTTGTGACAGAAAATACTTTTTTAGATCTTTTAGGCCAGTGGTTCCTAACTGGGGTCTGAGGCCCCCCACACACTTTTGTGAAGTTGTGAGATTACCAAGATTATAGTTGAAAAAAATTAATTTATACAATCCAGACAACACACCCAATAGTACAATCAAATCTTTATTTAAGAGGCATGAGCCTATGTCTGTTGTAACGTGAGGAAGTATGGGTTTCTGTGCCAAAGGTCGTATTTGCCCGGCTGGGTCAAAGCTGGGTCACGTAGCACCTTCACCCACAGATTAAGACCTAAGCCGCCAGCAAGTATTGATTTGTTAAAATTAATATTCCAGATTATTACGTAGAATGGTTCATCTTTCATAAAAGAGCCAACAACCATTACGCTACACTGTATAAGGTTTGTAATACATTGCATACGGGTGCGAGTTGGGGGGGGCTGGCTTGTCTTGGGCACAGGAATGGGGGCCCTCATAAAAAATGGTTGGGAACCACTGTTTTAGGAGGTGCTATGTTGAGTAAGTATTGTGAAATCCAAGAGGGTTTGAACAAAAACACAAGTTTATAATTTATGGCTGAATATTTGGTTATTTTTAGTACTGAAACAATCCAAAAACAAAACACAAGATTTTTATTAATCATCATCATAATCTGCAATTACATTTTTTTAAACAGTAAGATAATACAAAAGTCACTTACATACATGTCTTATTCTGTGCTGACAGGTGCTAGGCATTCTTAAAAATGTTCAGATATTAATGTGTCCTTCTCAGGGGTTTTAAAGTACTGGAACTTTTATTTTATTGGTTGAAAGTGCAACTAATACAGGTTAAAGCACAATAATATTCGCTCTACCGGGACCAAGAATAGAAATGATCATATGGAGCATCTGTGCACTGCTCTTGCATGTGTGAGCTGTCATTCAGTGTGTGGTCTGCGGAACATGACACACACCTAGCAATGACACACACCTAACCATGACCACGAATCCTAAACGACCAGTAAGACTAGAAAAGCTGCGTCTGAATGCAGCTTCAGCTCCATTCCTCCTGTGTGCAGCCTGATCTGTAGAAAGCAGAGCAGAATAACAGTCGTTTATGGATAATACCGTCCAGGAAAATATGAAACAGACATTTTCACACTGATGTAAACTTCTCCGGTAGAATCTGTCCTCCCTGATCGATGGGAGCACACGGCGACATGGACCTTCCACTGTGGAGAAGCTGATGAACACCAACGAATAGAATCAGAGTTTTTAAACACATCACCATCAGTTCTAGAACGTTCTTCGTGTGCAAATGATTCTTCTTCATTTCTGTGTATTCAAAACTATCCGTTTCTATGTCATGTTCAGCTTCTCTCTGCTGACTCTGCAGAAGTTCAACGCCTCAGGTTGGCATTCAAAAAGTTCAGGACCTTCTCCCAGGCATCTTCCTGTGCAGCGGCGTGAGGAGCAGGGTGCCCCCCCCACAGAGTGATCACTGCAGGAAGAAACCAAATAATTCACACGATCACATAAAACAGGACCGTTTGTCTTTACAACACAAATGAGGTTAAAGCTCACATTTCTTGGGTTTGACGGACCACAAGGATGCTCGAGCATTTGGTGAGTAAGGTGGCTCGATCAGGTGACCGGCGCCGGGGTACGACAGGCGGGTGAACAGGTGGGGTTTCCCAGCAGACCTCAGAGTTTCCTCTATCTGATTATCAGTAAATCACATGATCATTTACTGTCTCTTTGGTCTGATTCTTAGCATACATCACACTGATATTTTCTTACAGAACTGAAGTTAAAGGAATTTTATCATTTTACCATATCGGCGTTCTCAATGCTTGAGGCACTCAGGTCGTCTTCACCCACTATGTACATCAAAGGACAATCGAGCTTCTCCAGCTGCAGAAGCAAAGCAGAGAAACCCAAAATGTGTCACTGAGATCATTGTGGTTGGAAAGAAGCAGGATAATAATCCAGAATTTAAAAAAAGAGGGTGGTTTTCATGCTTCACATCAGATCTGAATGTGTTTTTGTATTAAAGCTGTTATAACGAACCTACAGAACAAGCTAGGCCTTGAATGCAAACCCGGGCAAGGAACACTCACCCCTCCCCTCGGGTATCTTCCCTGAGACGCTTCTGCTGGAACCGGAAACCCGCGATGATGGCGGAAACGAGATGGCGCTTAACACCAGTCGCAGTTTTCTAGGTCCAAACGCCTTTTGTTGTCCGTGACTTCAAATGGTGTTTTTCTTTTTGGGACTCTGGTAGTTTGTCCTAAAGTTGGAGTGGTAGCAGCTGGCTGTTTCTGCTTCTCTGATATTATTGAGCGGAGAACCTCTCACACCAGAGGTGTTCTGTTGCTAAATATTGCTAAATATGCGTGTGTGTGTTATGAGTGGACGACAAAGCGAGGCTGACAACTGGCTGGTCCAATAGTAACTTTTGGTCCGAAACGTGTTATTGTTGGGAGGTTTATATTCAGATAAGAGAGAACCACAATTTTTTTAATCTCCATAATTTATTTGTAGCTATTTGTTAGAATGTTGTTTAAGAGGCATGAAAAAATATTTTAGGCTCATTTGCCATTGCAGCATTAAAAGCAGGTGCATTACCTCCACAATGCTGTCAGGGGGAAGATTGGCAGGTAAGGAGACCTCTTTGAAAATGACATAGCCTTGATCATCATACGTCCAGTATTTCTGGTAGCTAAAAAGAAAGTTGAATCTGATCAGATGTGGATCATACATTAGTGATGAAACAGTTGGTGGGAACGTTAGGAATTCCCAAAATGTGAAAAACACTTCCAGAGAACTGGAGATATTTATAGCCGTGTGTGAGAGGAAAGTGATAAAACTGAAACCTGAATAGTAAACAGTTATTCTAGGATTCTCAAATAAATGAAAAGTAAACATCAGACCATTCTGGTGTGAATGAGAAAAGGAAAATTAATTAAACGCCATTCTAGCCATAAACTGGGCTGTTTAATCCGTTTTATCAGTGCAATCACTGCTGCTGTTTGGGACGTTTTAAAAGGGCCCCACTGGATTAATGACACATTAATCATACGGCAGCATCGTGTGCCAAAAAGCTTTATTAACTGGCTTATTTCTCTTTTAAACGTAGAAGCGATTCAGAAGTTAGGGTGTAACTGAAGTTGGAGACAGCAGCAGTAAATGTGATACATCAAGACATCAATAACTCATAACTGTTTCCTAGGAACAAATGGATAAAGTTCCCAGACATAACCTTTTGTTTACCTGTCAAATATTTCAGTCCTACCCTCTGAATCTGAGAGAGTCACCGTACTTCCAACCGGGCCGTTGATGCAAACCAAACAGGCAGGCTGGAGAGGAGAATGAAACCATTAAAACATCATTTTTAAAGCTCACAAACAGTCCAATTTACCAGAATAGAAACAGAGTGTGTTGATCACGTGTTATAAACCTGTTTTATTACTGTTAAACCAGCTATAAAAGCAGACAGTAAGCTCTGGGACCAACTTTAACTCCGGTTCGGGTCGCAATACGGAGCGTCACGTAGCATCCAAAGGAGAGGCCGATGATCCCGACTCTGTCTGAAATGACCTGAGGGTGATCCTGGAGCAGCTGGAATGCTGCCTGTCCGGAGAATGGAATTGGAATATTTTCAAAAAGCATTAAAACAATCAAGAAAAAATGGGAATATGAGATAAATACAGTCCTGATCAAAAAGTTAAGACCGCTTAAAAAATAGCCAGAAATCATTTTTTGCATGATTGAATCTCAACGAGGTTCCAAGTAAAGCTTTAGCATGTAACTAAAAGAAACAGGAGCAGTTCATTGAAAACAACACTAAACCGAAACAGACTGTTTTGCAGATGATCAAATGTTTAAGACTATATCTTTCAAAGGTCAACTCTGTGTAAAAATATAGATTCATTGTCAAATATTTACATAATGGTATGTGGTGCTTTTTCCCTCACTGGAACAAAGGAGCTTCAGGAGGAACAGAGGTTCAAGCAGTCCAGATGTGGCAGAGAGCATCCCTCATGACTGAGGGCCCCCATCTGTGTGGTAACCACTGGGTTCTTCTACAGGACACAATGCCTGCAGGACAAGGGACTTCTTTTGGACAATCCTGGGCACTCCCCTGATTTAAATCCAATTGAGAACATTTGGGGATGAATGGCGCTGGAAGTTTACAAAAACGATCAACAGTTTCAGACAGCAGATGCCATTTGTGCGGCCATCTTCCTCACTTGGAGGAACGTTCCCACTCACTCACCTAGTAAAAACGCCAGCATCAAACATGTTGCAACAACATTTCGAAGTGATTGCTAATAAAGGTGGAGCGACTCATTCCTGAGTTCATGCCCGGAGGTTTGATTTCTGTTTGGGGGTGTGTGTTACGTTTTATCTCTAGATGTGATCTTAAACTTCCGATCAGCTGCAAAACAGCCTGTTTGAGTTTGTTTTCAAAAAATTGGTGCTCAGAAAATGTTTTGTCTCACTCCCATTTCTTGTTGTAAATTGAAGCTATAATGGAACCTTGCTTAGATCCAACCATTCAAAATATAATTTTTTTAAGTGATCTTAAACTTTTGATTGGGACTGTACATTTAGGCAAAAACGCAACATTTTATCCTACCTTAAAGTATGAATCACCAACATTGACACGGTTCGGTGGACCAGGTAGATCTTTGTGTCCTATGTAGGCGAGAGAAAGACTAGCAAAGCCTTTGGATGCCAGCAGCGAGGCGCGGTACTCTTGTAGTCCTCCACCCATTCCCCACAGATCCAGCATGGCAGGGAACGGGCCTGGGCCTTCAGGAAACCACAGAAACACTTACTAGTTAGGCCCGAGCAGCGAAAGCGCTGCGAAGGCCTATTGTATCTGCTCTGTTTATTTTTCTTCCGCCAAGTAAATTGGCTTTTTAGAGGCCTTAACATACCCGAAAATTCAGGAATTTTTGCACACATGTCAGGCGTGGTGTAAAATTTTATATTTTAAAGGTCCCCAAAAAAATAAACGCAATAAAACTAGCTCCACAGCGCCCCTACAATGTGAAAAATACCCCCTCCACAAACCTTAGTTTGTCGTACAGTAATGAAATTTTGTACACTTGTAGTACTCAACAGTCCACACAGAAAAGCCTCTTGCAACCATGGTCAACATCAAACAGGAAGTCAGCCATTTTGGGTTGAAATGATGATTTCGACTCCACCTTGGCCATTTCTAGGGTCCGCTTCTGATTGATTTACTCGATCATTTTTCGCACAATCGTCTCGAAAGTTGTGTGAAATTGCTCAGAAGGGATGGGCAATCAAAAATCAAAAATAAAACTGACTTTTCATATATGGTGAGGGGGTGAGGCCAGGCCTCGAAGTTCGACTACTCGCCAAAAAAAACTATAAATGGCTATAACTTCATACTCGAATAGAGTAGAGTTACAAAAATTTCTGTGGTCATTTGACATCCAGCCACAAACTAAATTGAATGGTCGGATGATGACATCACACATGCCCTGCCCCCTCAGGACCAAAAAGGTCAAGTTTTACTGTGATAAGTCCCAAATCGCCCCATTTCACTTAATCACCACAAATTTGTAGCTGGTAACTCAAGACAAGTGGGTGTTTCTTGGCGTCACTTTATGGGAGTTTTCAAAAGAGGGTGGGGCTGTGGCGGCACGGTGAAGTCAGGCGTACCGCTGTGGCCATACGTTTGCCTCCCATTTCGTCATTTCTAAAGATATCGCCACGAAACTTCTGGTGAGTGATCCTAGTCCAGCCCTCCAAAAAATCTGATGTGAAAATCTGGTGGGCGTGGCCTATTTTCTTAAATAGCGCCCCCTAGGACCATTAAAACTGTCAGCCCCAAGCCATGCTTTGACTGAGGATTACGAAATTTGGTACACTAATGTGGTGTCTCAGGACCTACAAAAAGTCTCTTGGAGCCAAGCGCAAAGTCGCACAGGAGGTCAACCATTTTGGTCCAAGTACTCGACTTAGTGGTTTTTGCACACGTCGTTTGGAGAATGATGCCCCGTCACCCTTTTCACCAATCACCTTCAAACTTCTGCTATATACTCTTAAGCTATAGGGGAAAAATTCCAACCATTGGATTTTTCAAAAGTTGAAAGGTGTGGACGTGGCTAAGCCTCAAACTTTGACCTGTCGCCACGCCACTGTTTTTCACAGCTCCCTATTGGACTCCTTTCACCCAATCACCAGCAACCTCTGGCAAATAGCAGTAGACAAGTTGGGGTCACTGGGTGTCCAATATTGGCAGGTATTTAAAAAAAGGCGGGGCTTTGGGATCATGGCAAAATTCGCCATCACGTCATGAAATAGGTTTGCCTCTCATTTCCTCAGTTATCATGATATCGCCCCGAAATCTCTGGTGAGTGATCCTAATCTGATCCCCAATAGAAATGAACGTGATAGGTTGGTGGGCGTGGCCTATTTTCTTAAATAGCTCCCCCTAGGACTATTAAAACTGTCAGCCCCAAGCCATGCTTTGACTGAGGATTACGAAATTTGGTACACTAATGTGGTGTCTCAAGACCTACAAAAACGTCTCTTGGAGCCAAGCGCAAAGTCGCACAGGAGGTTGGCCATTTTGGTCCAAGTACTCAATTTAGTGGTTTTCACACACATTGTTTGGAGAGTGATGCCCCATCGCCCTTTTCACCAATCACCTTCACACTTCTGCTATATACTCTTAAGACATGGGGGAAAAATTCAACCTCACGTAATCCCCGCCCCCTGACAACAGGAAGTTGATTGTTTAATGGTCAAATGCCCATATTTGTCCCCTTTAATTTAGTCAACATGACACTAAGGTCATGCACTGACTTCAAGATGCTGTAATGACCATTCAGTTCTGATAGCTTTCCAGAAAGGGAGGAGCTTTGATGCCATGGCGAATTCTGGCGTGATGCCGTGACCTTACGTTTGACTGTAACTTCCGCAAACAGCCTCCGATCTGCATGAGAGTGAACATGGCAATCAACAATCATGCCCTTTAGCCAATGAGGCACAAACGGTTGGTGAACGTTGTATAATATGTCCACAGCGCCCCCTACATACCTTTAAAACTGTAATAACTTGTACAGACGAGGTCACAACTGCACCAAACTTGCTATATGTCATCACACAAAGACACCCAACACAATCCTGTGGTCAATGGTTGATATCGCTTTAGCTCCGCCCCCTGACAGATATTAGGCCCTGAATAACACATGCATGATGCAATTCACACCAAACTGCACACAAATGACTGTTATCAACCTACAAACTTCTTCATGGAATATTTCCTAAATTTGGGACAGCGCCCCCTAGATACAATAAAACCTTTGTAACTTCTGCAAAAAAGCTCCAAACTATATCAAACATGGTGGGAGTCATCACACAACTGCAATCAACACATGTTTGTGCTCACTCATTCAAATCACTTTAACTCCGCCCACTTACAGCCTTTTGGCTCTAGATGACCCATGCAACATTTGATTGATGCCAAATTAACAGAAAACCATCTTTGATGACCAAAGATGATCTCTATGGGATTTAGTTGTAAATGTCACAGCGCCCTCTAGATGGGTTCAAACTTTATTAACTTCTAAAGACAAGGTCAGAATGGCATTATACTTGGCTTGTGTCATCACGTGACTGCACCAAACACATTGATGTGAAATAACAGAAAACCATCTTTTGTCAACCAAAGCTGACCTCCATGGGATTTTTTTGTAGTTGGTCACTGCGCCCCCTAGATAACTTTAACCTTAAATGACTTTAAAAAAACGTGGTCAAAATAGCATTAAACTTGGTCTGTGTCATCACACCACCAATGTGGTAAAGATAGAGTATCCCCTAGTGGTTGGATGTGTAATTTAATGGTGGGCTCAGAGAAGATGCTGAGTCAGGGTAAGGTGCAGAGGAGGAGACCGTTTGTGGTTTCTGGTGTCGGGGTGGCCGATGTTTATGTTCAGCAGACGTGACCGGGTGCATCAGACTGCCGGCCAGGCCGGAGCGGCGCGGAGCTGCGAGGGCCGAACGACGCTGCTTGCAGCTTTAATTACATTTCTGTTCATTAATTTAAAACATCACACAGCATCTGGGTGTGTAAATACACCAACTCAGGTTTGTAGAGACAAAAAAGCACATAAAAACTCACCAGGAGGTAAGAATAATGCTCCTACAATGCCATTTTGAAGAGTGTCTATTCTCTTTACTCCTGGTGAAAGGTACCAGCGCTCTGCGTTGACAGCAGCCAGCTCGGTGGTCTGGTCTTCACTGGGGGAAACGTGGCCCTCCAGTAAGGAGATACGGACCACGTAGGGCGCCTCCACATTCCTCTTCCTCAGTCTGTAGAAGATGGTAACATTTCAGGGAGGAAATCATGTAAAATACGTTTTATTTCTTCCATATCTGAGCGTAAATCCAACAAAACTTATGAGGTGACATGCATTTTATTTGTGACAAAGTAACCAAAGATATTTCTCAACTTTTTGCTTTGAAGTCAATGAGCACCGTCACGGTTTGGCATTTCCCCAGGGCTCGGGTGCAATCTGACGCTATCGAGAGATACTTTAATCTTTTCTGCACATGCTGACATTTTCATTAGCAGGAAGTAGAAACCAAAGTAAAAGTAAACATTCATTATTTTACTTCCTGTTTGCTCTGTTTGTTTAAACCTTTTCTAATTTGTGGTTGCAGAACGATAACCGTATCAGATTTAATCATTTGCATGTGAGGGAAACATGACCTTAAATGACCTTCTTGTTGATAATGAACAGGCTCATCACTGCATAAGAAACATGACTTACATTTAGATTTCTTGGGTTTTTCACGAGCGTGACGTGACACATACTTGGATTTCATTCTATAAAGATTTCAAGCTCGCTTTCTTCACCTGCCTCAAACCTTCTCTTGATCCGGGAGCCGGCTCCATCCCCCAGAAGAGTCCCATTGGCTCACAGCCCAAATAAGAGCCTCCGACTGAGTGATCGTTAGTTGCTGTGGACAGGACAAAATTACAAATATGCTAGCCAAAAACAATGTTCATCAACCCCGCAGTACACATGCTGACTAACTAGCAAATAATATCCACAAATATTTCTTGGTTTATAATTTTATGTGGATCATTTAATTGGTCAATATTTGTTTAGTGAAAATAAATCGCTAAAATAAGTTAAATAATAAAATAATTTTTTATCCTTGCAACTATTAAAACATTACAGGTGAATGATGTAAGACTGACATTCTGTGGTCAAATTTGGGTACTGCCTGATGACTAGATGATGAGCGAGGACGAGTAATGGTATGGAAGCATAGAGCTGCCACCCATGCAAATTAAAATTAGTGATATCCTTTTATAACGTCATAACTTTATTGTTCTAACAATATAATTTTCACATTCGTACAATATAGTATTATGTTCCCACAATATAATATTTATATTGTGCAAATATGATATTATATTGTACAAATGTGATAAATATGCATATTGTATAATTTTTTTTGTTGTAAAAACATGATAGCATATTGTAAGAATGTGATAACATATTGTACAAACGTGAACGTCAAATTGTTGGAACAATAAAGTTATGATGTTATAACGTGATATCACTCTAATTTTATGTGGCGTTGGTGGCAGCTCAATGCTTCCGTATACCACATAGTAAGTTGACGTTGTCGTCGTCTTCCTCCGCTTATCCGGGTCTGGGTCGTGGGGGCATCATCCCAACTAGGGAGCTCCACACCGTCCTCTCCCCAGCCACCTCCACCAGTTCCTACGGCAAGACCCCAAGGGATTCCCGGACCAGATTGGAGATGCAACCTTTCCAACGTGTCCTGGGTCGACCCGGAGGCCTCCTGCCGGCAGGACATGCCTGAAACACCTCCCCAGGGAGGCGTCCAGGAGGCATCCTGACCAGATGCCCAAACCACCTCAACTGACTCCTTTCGATCCGGAGGAGCAGCGGTTCTACTCCGAGTCCCTCCCGAATGTCCGAACTCGTCACCCTATCTCTAAGGCTGAGCCCGGCCACCCTACGGAGGAAACTCATTTCGGCCGCTTGTATTCGCCATCTCGTTCTTTCGGTCATTACCCAAAGCTCATGACCATAGGTGAGGATTGGGACGTAGATCGACTGGTAAATTGAGAGCCTGGCTTTCTGGCTCAGCTGTGACAAACACAACACGGCCAGACAGAAGTGTCACATCTATTCCAAAATCACGGAGTTTCTGGAAGAGCAGGTTCCTGATATTCTCCCGTTTTTGACACACCACTCTCGAAAGGAGCCGCAAATAACACCCTGGAAACTAGGTTGAAGTCGTTGTTTGCATAATGGATGGTGCCGGATATAAATGACGTTTTATGATAATCCTCCGTCCAGATATCTGTTGTGATGGCGCATCCGTATGTTTCAATGATGGGCCTTATCTCCGCTGCCACTGACGCCTGCAGCGCTTTTGCTCGCCCCTCGACATGTCTGGATACAGTGGTTGGATGAGGTAAAATATCTTTTACATCAAATTTGCCATATTTAGCGGCAACATTAACAAAGTGTTGTGCTATGTCAACAAAGCCTTTCCCGGCAACGAAATCATATGGCCGTATGTCTGCGCAGCACACTTCCACACATTTCTCAGTAGTTTCTTGTTTAATTTGTGCAGGGAGAAGTGGTTTATCCTTGAAAAGCAGCTTACTTTGACCGGGGAGAACAGAGCAGGAGTGCCGCCTCAACCCAGAGGTGCCGGATTTGTGTCCATTGTAGACGAGTATTTTTGCACATTTGTCGCAACTGACAAAGTCCAATTCGTTTCCAGCTTTGTCACAAACAATTGAGAAACTCCTCCAAATGTCTGACTTGCCTTGCTTGATTTTTGTGTCATAAAGACCTTGTTTCAGCTTCTTTTCAACGTCAGTTGCCGACTCCATCATGCTCATCCCGACCCCCCACTGTTTTTTTAGCCGACCGTTCCCGCCCGCAGCAAAATTCACACCGCCCGCTCCCGCGAGATTTGTGTTGGGTCCCGCGGGACCCGGCGGGACCCAATACCAATGCAGCCCTCTACTCTGGTGTCCACCAGCGGGTACGGGGGTTGCCACCATGACTGGCACCGGCCACCTTGCGACCACAGCTAGCAACAGCCTCCTCATTAATCGCAGAGTGGAACAAGGCCCATTCAGAGTCGATGTCCCCCACTGCTCTCGGGACGCGGTGAAAGCTCTGCCGGAGGAGGGAGTTGAAGACCGTCTTAACAGGTTCTTCAGTCAAGCGTTCCCAGCAGACCCTCACTATGCGTTTGGGTCTGCCAGGTCTACGCGGCATCTTCCCCTGCCATCTGATCCAACTCACCACCAGGTGGTGATCAGTTGACAGCTCCGCTCCTCTCTTCACTCGGGTGTCCAAAACATACGCCCGCAGGTCAGATGATACGACTCCAAAATCTATCATCGACCTGCAACCTAGGCTGCCCTGCTACCAAGTGTACCAATGGGCATCCTTATGTTCAAACATGGTGTTCGTTATGGCCAAACTGCGGCTTGCACAGAAGTCCAATAATGAAACACCACTCGAGTTCAGATCAGGTGGGCCGTTCCTCCCAATCACACCCCTCCAGGTCATGCTGTCATTGCCCACGTGAGCATTGAAGTCCCCCAGCAGGACAATGGAGTCCCCTGATGGCGCACTACCTAGCACTCGTCCCAGGGACTCCAAAAGGGGTGAGTAATCTGACCTGATATTTGGCGCATACCCTCTTGTCCCCCGGGGTAAACCCTAACACAAAGGCAGAGAGTCTTGGGGCTAACAAAAAGCCAACCCCAGCCCTCCGCCTCTCACCCGGAGCAACTCCAGCAAAGGAGAGTGTCCAACCCCTCTCAAGGACTTGGGTTCCAGAGCCAATGCTATGTGTCGAGGTGAGTCCGACTATATCTAGCCGGTACTGCTCAAACTCTGCCAAAAGCTCCTGCTCCTTCCCCGCCAGCGAGGTGACATTCCATGTCCCAATAACCAGTTACCTTGTCCGGGGATCGGACCGCCAAGGCTCCCGCCTCGGTCTGCCACCCGATCCACATTGTACCGGACCCTTCAATTCAATTCAATTCAAGTTTATTTATATAGCGCCAAATCACGACAAGAGTCGTCTCAAGGCACTTCACATAATAAACATTCCAATTCACAGTTCATTAAGCCAATCAGAAATAATGTTTCCTATATAAGGAACCCAGCAAATTGCATCAAGTCACTGACGAGTGTCAGTGACTATACAGCAATCCTCATACTAAGCAAGCATGCAGCGATAGTGGAGAGGAAAACTCTCTTTTAACAGGAAGAAACCTCCAGAGAATCCTGGCTCAGTATAAGCAGCCATCCTCCACGACTCACATGTTCCACCTGCAGGTGGTGGGTCCACAGTTGGATGAGCCCATGTATCCGGTTCGGGCTGGGCGCGGCCGGGCCCCATGGGCGAAAGCCCAGCCTAGGGCTGCAACAACGAATCGATAAATTCGATGAAAATCGATTACTAAAAGCGTTGGCAACGAATTGCGTCATCGATTCGTTGTGTCGCACAACTCTTCCAAAAGCGCCCCCCCTTCCCGCCCGCCGTTGCGCGCAGACCAGAGCAAGTCATCAGCGCGAGGGAGAGCCGCAGATCAGCGCGAGGGAGAGCCGCAGATCAGCGCGAGGGAGAGCCGCAGATCAGCGCGAGGGAGAGCCGGCAGATCAGCGCGAGGGAGAGCCGCAGATCAGCGCGAGGGAGAGCCGCAGATCAGCGCGAGGGAGAGCCGCAGATCAGCGTGAGGGAGAGCCGGTACAGGCAGATCAGCGCGAGGGAGAGCCGGCAGACTTGAGCTGCTGCGAACCGGTTCCGCATTGTTGCACAGCGATCCAGGCAGCTGCTTCCAGCGCACGGTCCATTCTCAAAGTGGCGCAACCAAAAAACTATAATTAGCACACGATCGTTCATGTCCGCACATGTTCTCTATTTTCTGTCTTATTTGTGCCTGAAGCGCGCTACTGCGGAGCTCATCACCTGTGCTGCGGTGATTTCACCTCACGCAGCATCGAAAACGCGCTCTGCGCTTTTCGGTCAGGAGATCCCTTTGACCTGCTCAAAAGTAACTGATGAGGTGAAAAGGTAAGAATCCAGGCAACAGATTTTCTGGAGAATTAAGAGGAGATGCAGGAAGATGAGAGACAGACAGGACAGGAAAATAGTTCAATAAAAACAAGAAAACAAAACAAAGTGTTGAAAAGTAAAATGTAGGTAGATTTATCTCCACTACACGTTTTTACCAGTAAAAAACAATAAGTTATACACATGTCATATTTATACATCTGATACAATTCAGATCACCTTCAAAACTCAGTCACACACCCAGGGCCGTTTCAAGACATTTTGGGGGCCAAGGCAAAATGCCCCCCCCCCCCCCCCCCAATAACTGGGCTCCCCAGAAGCCTCTGTGTAATTCATGCCCTCTCCAGTAGTGTTAGTTATACAGTGTTTATAAAAGCCCCTCAGACATTACTGACATGCTCTAATATTATCAGATGAAAAACTAAATTATCAGACATGCTGTCTCATCTGCTTATTTTATAAACTTGCAAAAAGTAACAAAACCATTTGAAAGCCACTATTTGTGGATTCTCTGAAAGTTTCCATGGAGTGTGTGACAACTTATTTTTTCATTGATCCTATCGTCTAATCTCACAGTTGAAACAAGCATCCTTAATAATCTGTGCACAGGAAGCTTACCGATGCTGTAGTAAAACAAAAGGTAGTAATTTATTATTAATAAAACCTTGTTGCAACACTAAAGCAGAAAAATTAGATTTTGCATTAAATATGCAAAATATTTACATATGAATTGTTTTAGAGCCCTTTAATTGGCAGAATCTGATATTAATTTAGTTCTTACAAAAAATGGGTCCCAACATGGTTTGTGTGGCGTTGCCATAGTGTGACGTCATAGGCACAGATCCCCTGTCCTCTTGTTTGGAAATGGAAATATGGTCACCCTACATTAAACAAACTGTCCACCCGGGCTTTTGCACTGCACAGAGACGCTTCGCTGCCTACGACTGAACGTCAGTTGAGAGTCAGTCTCATGCAGACTGACCAATGAAGAGAGGGCCTCAAGTTAAGACCCTCTCCTCATTGGTCAGTCCACACGAGGTGGGTCAAAGGTTACTCTGGGCGGGTTACGTGTTGTCAGGCATTCAAGTATTGAGTATATTTACTGCATATTACAGTAAAATATTCTGTATGTGACCACATTATGGTGATCCTTGGGTCGTGATGATGGAGCCCTTGAATATTGTTGCCCAGGGTACAACAAAGTGTTAATCTGGCCCTGGTTCCGCCGTCACATTCCCGCAGAAACTGGTTGATCACACCGGGGCCAGACTACTAGCATGTGGTTTTACAACCACAATGTCCTCAGAAGCAAAAACGCTTTTAAAAGGGAGGGAGGAGTCCTAACTGTTGCTGCAGGCGTGTTGTGTGAGAGTGCAGTTATATACTGGCTAATATATTTTTGGGTTCAGTTGCTTTCATGTGGCCTAATGTGAGTCTATTTGGGATCATTGGAATGATCAGCAGCATTTCTTGATGTGACTTTATGGCAGTTGCCCAGGGCATCATCGCAAGGAGGATAGCATTCATTTACTTTTGTTTTATTTGGTATTTTTTCAGTCATTTTTGGAAATAGTGATCAATTTTGATAAATTCACAGCCTATGTTTAATTACATTTAAAATAAATGTCAACAGATGAGATCAAACAAAACAGATGAGAATTGCCCTTAAGCTGTTTAACTTGGACCAAGCATTTTAGGTCACAGATAGATGTAGCTTAGGGTCTCTGTCTATACACCTTATAAGACAATTTAGGTGATGGCATGTTGTTTTTCTGCTATTGAACTGTTTTCTAATAATGTTGTGTTAAATAAAGTGAAGGAAGGAGAGAAATAACGTTTCCCTAGCAGTTTTTAAAAATTTCCCCATGTAATCCGATTAATCGATTAATCGTGTCGAGACCCCATCCGATTAATCGATTATCCAAATAATCGTTTGTTGCAGCCCTAGCCCAGCCACTAGGCGCACGCTCACAGGCTCCAACTCCAGGCCTGGCTCCAGGATGGGACCCCGGTAACCCTCCGGGCCGGGTACTCAGACTCTTTGTTTTTACGTCCATGAAAGATCTTCTGAACCGTTCTTTGTCTCACATAGTAAGTTCATATGTAGATAAATACATTTCACTGTAATGTTGAGTTGTTGGTGATTTAAAAAGTATCTTGAGATTTTTCTAGAGCTTACTGTTGCTAATTCACTGTTAGCATTGTTAGCTCAACGTTAGCCTCTAGCTTTCTTTAGCTGGTATTATAGTAAAAAACAAAAAGATGCTGTGACTTTTTTGAAATACAAAAATATCTTTTGGGTCACTCCTTTGACTGGCTAAAGCCGGGCGTACACTGTGCGACTTTTTCACTCGTAGCACTCAGCTTCAGCTCAAACTGTACGACTTCCTCGCAGGGCAGATCTCACGAGTCATGTGCTCACACTGTACGACCCAGTTCTCGGATGCGACCTGACTGCTCACACTGTACGTCTGGTAGCAACACATCGGCCCTAAAAATATGCTAAAAATAGCAGTTTTAACTCAACACGTCAGACTTTTTTTTTGTCTTGTTTTGCCTGTTGTCCTTTGGGAGTGCTGCAGGAGGACACACAGGGATTTATGGGGGTTGGATGAGAAAAACGAAATAAAGAAAGTAAATCTGTGTTTTGTGATCAGTTTAATTTGACATGAACACGACAAACACGCTTTCTTGACAATCTTTGTGAGTAAAAAAAACGTGTAGAAACAAAAATGAACAGTGTGTGTTATTAGGGAAATAGCGAGCGGCGTTGATGCATGATTGCGCATGTGCCGTGAGCGGTTCTGATACTTTTTGGGTCGCAGCTGCTCGCAGCGCCGCTTCAACAGTGCGATAACCTCACGAGGGACGAGCGAAAATTTTAAACACGCCAGAAGTCTGTGCGAGCTCACGACTGCTGATTGGCAGCTGGTCACGTGGTGTTAATCGCCTCTCGTAACCCCCTGTACACTACACGACCGCTCGGCGCAAAACTCGCCCCAATGTCGTGGATTCTCGCACGACTGGAAAATCGGCTCAAAAAAGTGAAAAAGTCGCACAGTGTACGCCCGGCTTAACACACTTTCTACTACTTTGTTGCATTTGCCCATCCGGTGTCAAATTAGACATAGCCATTGAAACACTACTTAGTGTGTGTGTGTCTGCTCTGTCTTCTCAAACCCAGTAAGTCAAGGCAGATGGCTGCTTACACTGAACCAGGATCCTCTGGAGGTTTGTTCCTGTTAAACAGAAGTTTTCCTCTCCACTGTCGCTACATGCTTGCTTGAGGTTGTTGTAAAGCAGGGGTGGGGGAACCCTGGTCCAACGAGGGCCGGTATCCAGCATGTTTTAGTTTCAACCCTGCTTCAACACACTTGATTTCAATCAGCAGATGATTAACAGGCTTCTGCAGAGCCTGAAAAGCTGCTGAACAGGTGAATCAACCACTGAATCAGAAGTGTTGGAGCAAAGACCTGCAGGATACCGGCCCTCGAGGACCAGGGTTCCCCACGCCTGCTGTAAAGTGTCTGACACCACAAGTCAGTGACTAGATGCAATCTGCTGGGTTCCTTATATAGGAAACTTAACTAATTGACATAGTGAACTGAACTGTATTGGGATGTTTTTTTGTGAGGTGCCTTGATTTGGCACTATTTAAATAAACTGAATTGAACTGAATAACTATTGCTGGTGCAGTAGTGTTTGCCAGCTCAGGCTTGGCAACCCCGCAGGCTCACTTATGATTGGCTCTGGAACCAAGAAATATGGAGGCACGACAGAGTGTAAACAATGACTACGTTCCTCTATGGCTTTTTAAAAAAAAGTAAAACTGGACACAGCCAACTGGGAAGAAAATCTGTTTTAATGGAACCTTACTTCCACCATGACTGAGAGATTAGACTAGATTATTTCACTGTAGAATTCTTACTTATTGTACATGTAAAAACACACACAAAAAATAATTTTCTAACAATTTTTGGAGACCAGTTCCTTATTTAAATTACATGCATTTCATCAGTCATACTCACAGCTAAAAGTGCCGCTTGCACTTGTGTTAAAATGAGCAAATGACTCCCACAGGTCTCCCTCGTCACTGTGCATCCGTGCAGACAGCGTGATAGGACTGTGGGGGGGCAGGAAACTCCCTCGGATGCTGATCTGTTCGTCTATGAGAGCTCGAACAGGGGTAGCTGTAAGGAAAGGGGCTGGTCTGACGCCGCTCTTCCACCGAACTGAAAACACACAATCAAAGAGCTGATTTCTGTGCATGAAAATTTAAAATACACAACCAAACTAGCTCATTTCTGAGAACTTTGTGCAAAAGCTGCAGATAAAACATTTAATTTGAGAAAAATAATTTAATACTTATTTTCTATGCAAATAAATAATACTGTCACCTGAAAGCTGCTGCAGACTTGGCAGTTTGCTGTAAAAACTCAAACATGGTTTCATCTCCATGTTGATGAGCAGCTGGATCGCTGTCACACTCACACGTGCTCTGAACATTGCAGCGTCTTTCGCCGCCCTGTGTAAACAACAAACAATAAAATCAAACACTGAACATGTAAAATTCTTCTTTGGTGACAATTTAGTAAAACAAGGCAGTTCTGCTCCAGTAACTGGAAATCTAAAGTCACAAAACTCTAACCAGGCTGGGTTGAGTGCAGCTCATGTGTTAGAAATTAACCTTTGAACTTTGTGCTGCAAAACACCTCCACACAGTAATCAAAGAAGTTAAAAAGTTCAACGCAGAGGGAAAACATGCATGCCGTTTTTTTGTTGTTTTACTATTTGCATCTCAAGTTACTTCACATATTTTCTTACAATTAAGTTTTCACACAGATCTGACCCAAACCTTTCATCATTCTTTATATCAGACAGTTGTTGTGTAAAGCGTCCTCAGACTCTCAAAGGTGAAGGTCATTTATCATAAAAAGCAAACACTTGTGGAAGGTCCATTATTAATTTAAATGAATTATAGGTCCATTATTAATTTAAATGAATTATCAACATTATAATTAAACTACTTGTCGCTTGGGGCTAAGTCATGCATTAAACTTGAACATTAGATGTAAAAACACGATTATTTAACATTTTTATTATCCTGGTGTTGCTTAAATGTTAAACAGACTTTAACAACTGGCTAAATTTATTTACATTTCAGTCAGAATTGCGATTATCTCTTGAAATAAAACCATAGTCTCTGTTGAGAGGGCAGAGAGTGCAAAGAGCGGTGAGTCAACCAGGTGAAAGTTTAACAGCGAGCGGAAAATTCTACAGAAAGTTTACGTAAACACTCGGGAGATTTTACAGGCTGCACAGAAACAAACTTAAGCTTTGCTGTCGGGCAAAACACACCAAAGTTTAAAAGTCTTCTTACGGATATGTGAGCAGTAAAGCAGGCTGGGGTTGTACAGGATGATGTAGAGATGAAGAAACAACTTTAAAGGAAGAGGGGGTCGCCTGACGTGTGCGCTACTTCGTCAATAATTCCGTCAATGTTAAACTTACACTTACATGTACTTTAATGTTTAAAGTTCAACGAAGCCGCGTTTAGACTCAGTACTGCCACCCAGTGGCCTGGAGCAGATTATTTACAATCACCTGCCTTGTTTTGTTTTGTAATTTATTACTTTGTGTTTTTATACGCTGGAACAGTTTCAGCAGCATGGTGTTTAAAGATCTCATGTTCAGTAATACATTACTGCCAACTTTTACAACAGTCTTGGACTGAGATTTCCTTTATTTGAAATTTAATTTGTGTGTGTGTGTGTGTGTGTGTGGGGGGGGGGGGGGGGGGGTTTGGACAAAATGGCACATTAGTCTGGTAGACGCTGTGTAAAAATAAACACAATTATGAGATAAACATATAAAGAAATTGATAAAATGTGGGAAATAAATGAATGTACTTACTGTTTATATTTATTTTCACTGCAGAACAGTCATATTATGTATTTTAAATTAGTAAGCTTAAACATGTAGTCCGTTCTTACAGAAAATATATTTAGCTAAAAATACATTCAGGATTAAAAACTTAATTATTATGTTGGACTGCTCTAACATAAATACATTATGGTTATGGAATGTTACTAAAGTATTTTTTAAGTGATTTCACTTGTATTTTAAAATGTGGTTATTACATTTTACTTACCTTCAATTTTGCCCTTTAAAACATATAATATATTGCATACAAATAATAATATAATAATGATAATAATGATATGTGTTATTATTATTATTATTATTCACATACATGATGGCTTGCCAGGCTAATACCAGTTATACCAGTTGGTGGCGGTAGAGTACCTCCATGATTTAGCCATCCATCATTAAACTCACGAAGAAGATGAAGTTTTGTTTCCGGTTCTTAAATATGACGCGTTTTGGTGTTTCGTGGACAAGGTTTAGGTAGTTCAGTATTAATTTATTCCTATTTAAAAAAATTCAAATGAAGCCAGAAGTCATAAAAACGAAAACAAAGCGGTCCAAAGCATCTGCGCTCCAGTTATCCAGGTGAGTGTCGTTCTCCCTTAATGTTTACATGTAGTGGACGCTGAAAACATGCTAACAGGCTCGTCATTTCGCCTTTTAGTATTAGCTAAACACAGCTTTAGCGTCGACATTCACACGCCTGAGACACTTTGTTTAGTTTTTTTTTAATCAGAGCTGAACATCAGGACAGGTTCTTCTGCAGGGAAATAAATAAAATAGTAGACCGGGTTTGTACCGTTAACTGTCTCATAGTGTATTTTTCAGTTAACGCGTTAACAGCTTGACGTTTTACTGAATTTCAAATTTACTGACAAATTAAGTTAGCAGCTTTACAACATATTTTAACTATAAAAATATAACTATAGGTGTAAATGGGGGGATATATTTTATATTAATAAGGTAACATACATTATAAGAGTCACATTAATTGTACTACCAGCATTAATGAAATTCCTTAAAAAATAAACATACATTACTCAGTGTACGCTTGAATTAGTTCTCAGAGATGAGATCAAAGGATAATGATTGTAAACTTTCCATTTTAAATAATGAACCAATGATTATGGAACGAGTTTCTACTGGAATTTGTTTCATCAGCAAAATCTGTTTTCACTTACTGATTGTTAGATTATTTTTCAACAGTTTATTAATTCAATTCAAAGATACTTTATTAATCCCAGAGGGAAATTAGAGTTTCAGTACACACAATTCTGAGATCAGACATACATAGGCAAAGACACATGACTAGAACTGGTGACTGTGGTCATTCGCAACCCGAGTCGCACTACCTTAATGGAGAACAGAGGGGTTACATGAGGACTGGATCAGGTGGAGGGAAAAAAAGGCACTTCAGAGTTACCCTCCACAGGGAGGGTAGCTTTGCTATGCAAAAAACACCTCAGACAGCAATGCAACAGACTTCAGACATTACACAACGTACGTGTCCACTAGGTGGGGTGGTAGGGTTTTGGGACTCCACACGTCAGCAGCATCAGCCGCGATAAGCAGCTCTCTTCACCTCAGTCTGGAAAGGAGTGGGAGGTCTTTGGGTTTACAGAGCACAGTGACTCCTGGAACGATTCAGCGGCCTTCACAACTCGCAGTCCCGCCCAGGCCGGGATAGGGAGACACAGTGGCCATGGTGACAGCAGCATTCCACATTTCTTCTGAGGGGGGTATTTGTTTCAGCCTCACAGGCTCAAGGGCACCAGATTCAGATAAGAAATTGTTTTGGGGCCAGACAGAGATAATTTCTTCTCTGTCTTAGAGTTCCGCTGGTCCTCAACCTCTCAAAATCCAATAATGGCGTAGATTAATCTATCCCAATCTGTGCTGATTCGTCCACTCGCTCCTTGATCGCATCTATCTTTTGTGCCAATGCATGAATCTCTGCCAAAGTTCCAAGCTTACGACTCACCTCGACAGTGACAGTTATATGAGTCTGTGAATTCACAGCCTGGTGCAATCCATCTCTGACCTCCGGGAGTGAGCTAGGGCTGCACCATATATCGAAAAATTATCGTCATCTGGATAACAGGATGTGCGATAGGCCCATTGCAAAGCACGTCAAAAACGGTGATAAATGTTTGGTTCAAACATTTCCATCCGTGTCATACATCAACTTTTTGTAAACCAGCTCTGTTTTTTATGCGGAAGTATTATTTGACCAATCAAATGTAGCCCTTCTGATATGATATTGCAGCCTCAAATACACACTATCCATGTGGAACCGCCTGACCCACCTGCCTTCTCGGACTTTGCTCCAGTTCAGCTTGCTGACTTGATGAAACTGATTAGCTCCATGAAGCCAGCTGGCTCTTCGGTACACTGCCTCCCGGCTAAATTGGTGCGCGACTCAGTGTCTTCACTGAGCCCGGCACTTATGAACATTTTTAACATTGGCCTCAGCACTGGAGTGTTCCCTAAGGTTTTTAAAGGTGCAGTTGTTCAGCCGATATTGAAAAAAACCTGGTCTGGATCTCTCCTCTTATGAGAACTTCCGCCCTATATCGAAAGTCCCGTTTCTCTCGAAGGTCCTTGAGAAAATTGTTCATGGTCAGATCTCTGCTCATATGAACAGCAACTCATTGTTGGGCGTGTTTCAGTCCGCCTTTAGACCACACCATAGCACTGAGTCTGCTTTGATTAGGGTGCTAAATGACATTCTGGTGGCATCTGACTCTGGGTCTAGGGTACGGCTGCTCCAGCTGGACCTTTCAGCGGCTTTTGATACGGTCGACCGCCATATTTTACTGGAACTGCTGGGTTGGGGTAACGGGGGTGGCACATAAATGGTTCCACTCCTACCTATCAAACCAATCCATCTCTGTACAGATTAGTGACTGTGCATCCTCCTGTCTTCCACTGCCTTGGGGGGTGCCACAAGGTTCCGTTATTGGGCCATTGCTGTTTTCTATCTACCTTCTGCCTCTGGGCAATATCCTGAATCAGCATGGCCTGCGCTATCACATTTACGCTGATGACTGTCAACTATATGTAGAAATGGATGAGAAGAATGCAGGCTCGCGAGTGGCTGCATGTATGGATGACGTGAAGGGCTGGCTGGCATCCAGCTTCTTAAAGTTAAATGAAAAGAAGTCTGAGTATATTGTTTTTGACCCCCGCAACCTCCATGGCTCTCACCCTGTTTGTGACCTTTTAACCCTCAACCCCAAACAGTGTGTGTCAAGTCTCGGTGTAAAGCTGGATGCTGGACTCACAATGGCCCCACAGATAAACTCCGTTGTGAGGTCTTGCTTTTATCAGCTTCGCCGCCTGACTCGCCTCAGACAAATCCTGAAACGGAGCATTTGGAGTCAGTCATCCATGCCTTCATTACCTCTCGCCTTGACTACGCAAACGCCCTCCTCGTTTGTGTTCCGGTCTCTGCCCTGAATTGGCTGCAGGTCGTCCAGAACACTGCTGCCAGGTTCTTGACAAATACACACCGACGTAGCCATATTACCCCTGTGCTGGAACATCTTCACTGGGTCCCTGTCATTTTGAGAGTACAGTTTAAGTTATTGACTTTTGTATTTAAAGCACTCAACGACCTGGCACCTTCCTATCTCTCTGACCTGCTCACTCCATATGTAGGGCTGTCACGGTTGAGGAATTCCCCCTGCGGTGATTCAGGGTGGCTTAATATTGCGGTGTGCGATATTATTGCAGCCCTTTTTTATTGCAGTACTATCTAAACATAATGTTTACACATTTAAAAAAGGTTAAAAATTGCCGTGCCTTCTTTAATAACACTTTACTGAATGCAGATCAAAGGGCAGTAACAACACAGATCGCAGTAACGTTTGTTTCTCCGACAGTCGGAGTCCGACTGAACTTAAAAACAACAAAATTCAGGAGAAGGTTAAACTTTTAAATGCAAATTTGGCTGCAGCATCTAACAAATAAGAAACAAGTCCCCATTTTGTTTAGTTGTTTAAAATCAAGCATAAAAAATTACATGTACCGGGCGCGCGCGCGCCGGGGGGCGGGCGCACTATCATTTCACTTTCACACACATGAATGACGGTGATTTATAGCTCGGTCACGTCCTTGTTACCTACAAGAAAAACCAGCATGTTAACTACGGTTTGAGAGAGGATCTGAGAGGGGTGGCAACATTTGCAGCAACACTGAAAACCCTCTCAGATGGAGCGCTCGTTGCACTAACGCACACGTACCTGCGTGCGACTCTGGCGAGCAAAGGGAATCTCTCCCGGTTGTTGCTCCACCGTGTCACGGGGGTTTTCTTTAGGGTGGATGCATTCCTCCTGCAGGTAGCGAGTGAGCTCCAGCTCGGCTCAAACTCTCTTCGGGACGGCTGCAGAAGCAGTGCTTGTCCGGGACTTCAGCAGGTCTCCGAGCATTTATTTATTTATTTATTTTTGCCGCTGGTGGCAGCTCTGTCTCGGCCAAGGACTCTGGCTGCGCAGCAGCTGACGTACTGAAAACCAAAGTGCTCCCAAAGGAGCGAAGTAACGTTTCGTTTTGATACCAGTGCAGCCATCCTTCTCAACATGCATCATTGAGTTGAACCAAGTTCAGTAATCGCGGTGGCGCATGATGCAGCGCGGTGGGCTTCTTCATATCGCGATATTTCATTTTTGCGGTTACCGCGACAGCCCTATCCATATGTACCCCAGGCTCCGGTTAGCTTCCAGCTAAAAGGCTACAGTACTCTCCTCCCAGTCCCACTCTGCTAAAGAGGGCCTGGAAAAGTTCCCCCACACATCAACGTGATTTTTCATTTATGAGCTTTTATAACCTTGTTAATCAGGATAGTTGATTTGCTGCTGCACAAAAACTGTCAGTCAGAAGCTCTGCTAGCCGGTTATCTTAGAGGAGCTAGTTCAATTTGTTAGCTTGTTATCAGAATCATAGTTGCAGTTTCATCATCTGAGCTGCTTTTTAAGATCTAGGTAAACTTGTTCAATTTGGGGTTAAAAACAAACGTTTTCACGTATTTTCCATGTAATTTTTTTGCCAGTTCCTCTTCTGAAAGGTAGACAATTGTTTTTCTCTTTCCCTCAGAAAATCTTAATATTCTCCTAGTTTGGCCCAGCACAGTTCACTTCCCAATAGCAGCAACAGCCTTATATCATAACCACATAAGTGGAGAAAATGTTCAGTAGCAATGAGGGAATTTGCTGGTGCATTTAAGTGATGTTAACTATTATTTAACATTTAAACTTATTTTCTGATATTTTAATTTATTCAGAAAACCCTGGTAAGGGATGTTTTTCTGTATTTGGAGCATCAGAAAAAGTTTTATGGTGGAGATGATGTTTTAAAGTCACTGAGAAACTGCATGCTAGCAGTTTGTTGTTTTGCTGCTAATACAGTAGCTGGTGCAGCTGCATATTTTTTCAATAAAAACGTCATGTTGTAGTGGAATTCATGCATTAGTTTTTGTTTGCTTTGAACCCAGAGCAGACATCACACGCCAGACAACATCAACACTGCATACTTTAGTATTTGTTCATTTATCGCAAGTAATATCGATATCGCAATATTAAGCATTGTTATCGAATATCGCAGGTTTTCCTAATATCGTGCAGCCCTAGAGTGAGCCAATATTCCTCGACAGCTCGTTAATTTTCCGGTAAGTCAGGTAACCTCTAAGGCCAAAGAGCAGGAAACCTGACACCAACACCACGAATATCCAGACGTCTTCAGAATCCTCTACAGACAGCTGAGATAGGCAAATCAGGTTCCACTGTTTCCAGGAGACCATGATGTGCCCAACTGTATCTGTCCCAGAGGGGCACCCAGGAGCCCCATCTCCCATTCTCATCGTTGAGAAAAATTTGTCAGTCGCGTTGAGACCAGCTGACCAGATCCATTTTTAATCATTTTCCAGTTTCCAGAAAAAATGTAGAAGCTCCGTACACCCAAAGACAGACAAAGAGCCTTGGGGATAAGATAGGGAGGAGAGGAGGAAAAAAGCATCTGTACTCTCCAAGAGCCGGAAGAAGACCAATAAGATAATTAGATCAAATATATTTTAATGTTATTACATTTGTTTAAAAGTTAAGTTACGGTAATAGAAGTTGTTGCTCATAATACCCAAAAGTTTTCTGTCAAATCTATATATATGGAAATAAAAGCCTGGATGTGAAGTAATGCAACACCTTCTACTGTGCTTGTCAGATTGTGAGGTTTTACACTGAAGAGGCCGTATGGTGACACCTGGTGCCAGCTGCTAACATCATTTGGGTCTGCATGTGCAACGTCAGTCAGCAATGGCCAGCAACTTCCGCAGCTACATTTGGGACCCACTTCTCATCGTCTGTCAGATTGTGTTGATGCAGTGCATCTACTACAGCTTCTTGGGCCTGTGGATGGCTGGGGTGGACAGTCTTGTGCAAAGTAGCAAATCACTGGATCAGATTTTCAGCTATGAAGTAAGTTTGCTAAATGAAAAATATATTGTTTGTACTTTTCTGTACTCTTATACCACTTGATTTTCTTTGTCAGGTCCTTGGGTTTGCAACCATGCAGGGGAGACTCTCAGTGATGGCATTCATCTTGAACTCCCTTACCTGGTAGGAAATGATGAGACTCTAGAACTCTTATTATGGAAGAAAAATGAGCGATTTGTACAATTAGAGAGAATAAAAATTAGGAAAATGTGATTTTAGAATCTGAAGCAGAGATGATAAAAGCCAAAGTCAGGAATTACCAATATCATATTTATCATTCATCAAGTATAAATTCTATTTTCTTCCTGTTGTTGCTGGTTATGTTTTATTAAGAACACTTTTCTCTGAAACCTCCAACCCTGGCTGATGTTTATTTTGGCAGTGCCGTCGGTCTGTGGTTCTTCATCCGCCGAGGGAAACAGTGCCTGGACTTTACGGTCACAGTTCACTTTTTCCACATGATCGGCTGCTGGATCTATAATTCCCATCTTCCCTCTGCCCTGTCCTGGTGGCTCGTCAACGTAGCCTGCATGGCGCTGATGGCCGTAATCGGAGAGTACCTGTGTATGCGGACTGAGCTCAGGGCAATTCCTGTCAACAGTGGACCCAAATCCAACCTGTGATCCTTAGTTTTTGGGTACCACGCTGATTTTTAATCTCCAAGGAACTTGATGGTGACATTTTTTTTTTTGTCATCGTTGATTTAACAAAGAAAGGAACAAAAATCTAAACACAATTTGGATTATTCTGCATCATATCATCAAGTGACTTGATATTTATTCACAGCTGCTCATTAAATGTCGAACAGTATTATCTGTAAGGTGTAAAACTGTTTGCTTTATTGTTTTTAAAGTAAACATCAGCTTAAAGTTTCATTCAAACAGAGTTCATACATTCCTACCTGTTAAGCTCCATGTCTGAGCTATCAGGTTCTCTATACTCTAAACATGCACATTATTGTGTGTTTGTGTGTAGGTGTGTTTATTGTAATCTTCTCACACTATTCAATCATCTTCACCAGATACAATCATGTTTCCTGCGTCATAAACAGCATGATGTTAGTCAGGATAACGTTTGTGTGTTCATTCTTGTAACAGACTTGGTGTGAATTTTGTTTCCTTTAGTTGAACTTGTTCAGCCTTCTGCTCAGCTAGCTTTATTTAGTTGTGTGTTTTATTTTTGGGTAATGCAGACACCTTGTCAGCCATGCAGAACTCACTTATTGGTCAAACTGTGTCTCTTCTCATGCTTTTACATCCATTGAAATGAACTGATTTCATTCAAGTGTCAGAACACCCAAATAGCAGATGTTCTCCATTCTTGGCATTGAGGAGGAATATTGGTGATGCATGGTTGCTCTGCAGGGGAAAATCAGCAGCAGGGTTTTCGTTAGCAGTGCATTTCTCACTCCTGATTAGGGAAATATGAAATAACAAGTGCAGGTATTTTGTAACTTCACATTTTTAAGGGTAAAATGAACATTATGTGTCTGGAAACATTTGAGAAGTATTTTAACTGTAGGAAAGTGGCTCTTTCAGTCTGGTGAAACAAATGGAAACTTGTTATTTAACTCCTAGCTATAGTGTCTGCTACTTCCAACCGGAAGTAGCATGTTCCCTGAACATGCTACATATGACAAAATGCATTTTACATCTGTATTTAATACATTTAATATGTGTAAATATTAAGTAAGGGATAAAGTTTACCAGTACTACAAATGCTGATACTGTTTAGAGTTTTGATTGAGCCGAATCCTGATGTAGAGAGCCTGCCTGATGATCTCTAGATGCTCAGTAATGGTGGATGTGTCGTGCGTATCTGGTGATGCAGTGATACAGTGGTCCTCCAGGATGGAAGCAGTAAGACAGACCGTCTCACCTCACCCTCTGATGGTCCTCCATTACATTCTTGCTCATGAGATTTTCTTTAGAAGGGTAACCAAGACAAATAAGGAGAAATGTTTTTGCATTTAATGAGTTTTGTTATTGCGTGCTGCAAGTTCTTTTTTAATCATGGAAAAATGTAATGAGTGTTTTATTTTTGCTGCTGCTAACACTAAATCCTAAACTTTCTGCTTTAATTCAATCACTGCATTAAATTAGACTTTTTTCCAGACCTTTGTATTCAGAGAAATTATTGACATCCAGCTCAGACTAACTGATACAAAATAGTTGTTCCCCTTTTCTAGTTATTTTCTGGAGCTCTTAGATAGCTCTTAGAAGGTTTGATCAACCTTTTGCTAAAAGACCAAAAGTCAAACCCTGTTCTGCCCTGGAATGGTTTGTTTTTGCTTTATTTCAGAAAAGCAGCTTCACAGCATGATCACACCTCTGCCATGTTTTTGGCTGCATGTTCTGTTTAAATTTAAATATTTCAGACAAACATTACAGTTAATAATCTGTTCTGTTGGTCAATTAGCACAAGAATTAAGAAATCCTGCAGTTGGCTTCTGGGACATATGAGATATTTTATTAGGAGGTTTATTATTTTACATCATTTTGCTCTTTGAAAATAAACTGAAAGATCCAGTAAACAATTTTCTGACGCTCAGCTCTTGTTTGCACCACGGGAAACCAGAAATGAGTTGATTTTCATGTAATTTATTAGATTTTGTCACATAAAGATCTGGGGTCTCATGTATCAAACATTGCGTAGAATCCTTACTAAAACCGTACTTAAACTCAGCAAAAATAAAAAAAGTACTTACGCCAAGCAGGTTTGTGATCTATCAAACATGGAGGACGCACAGCTGCACGCAATCCCCGCTTCATAAATCGGAGACTAACAAGAATGTTTCTCAGCTGCATTTTAGTCACATCCCGCTCTCACCACACCCACTTACTGCCATAAACAGTCAATGCAGAGTGCCTTGTGGATCTCATGCATATACATAAGCCGGCTGTTGCAGTGCTCTGCCAATGACGATGGCGACCGTAGATCAAGGCAGATCAAGGAAGCGCAATTTCACAAGCAGAAACTGAGGTACTTGTGGGTGAGGTGGAGAAATGAAAGGAAGTGCTTTTGCAAAACAAATAAGAGAAAATCCACGGAGTGGCACAGCGTTGCTGAAGCCGTCAATGTTGAGTTATTTAGAGAGATCTGTGGCGGATATAAAAAAACAGGTCCAATTGGGATCTGATCCCCAGGCTCCCAGGTGGAAGTCATGCGCTAACCTGTCAGCCAAACCGAGATCTCCCCTGTACAAGTAGCCAGGGCGCATGATCAATCAGGTCACAGTGACAGGACACACACTGTCACAGAATGCCATTCTGTCTCAATCTGTCCCCCTGCTGATATTCTGCATTCCGTATGCTGCGCTTCAGGCTGTGTGTGTGTGTGTGTGTGAGTGTGCGCGCATGTGTGTGTGTACGCGCAAGTGTGTGTGCGTGTGGGGGTCTTGTTCTGTGTGAAAACAAAGCAGTACAAGTGATAATGCTGCACGATTTCATAATTTTATCCTTCTCAGCAGCAGCACTGCAGGTGCTCTCCATGTCCAAAATGTGCGTAAGCCAGGTCCTTAGTCAACTTAAAGTCGCGCACATTTTCCCACTAAGTTTTCTTTGATAAATCCCAAAGTTTGCGTGGAAAGTTGCTTACGCAGTTTTCTGACCCCGTTTTGTGCGTAAGCAAGCTTGATAAATGAGGCCCCAGGACTGTAATATGTAAAAGAGTAATTTAGATGGAATTATAGAAAAGAAAAAATATTTAGAAAACCTACAAATAATGTTAACTTTAATACCACAGCGCCATCATTAGGTCAAAATAGGAAAACAATATAAAATCCAGATCTTGCTGTTTGTGTTGTGTTTGTCATTAATTGAATACTTGTATCATGCTGAAATTTTCAGTGGTCGCTAATATAAATGAATGTCTTGTAAGTCGATCTCTCTGTGGGACTAAAGCTCTGGTCATGTTTCAGGTACTAGAAGCTAGCCAGAGGAGAGCGGAGTGAGAGTCCTACTTTCTGATGTTCGGACATCTCGCCTCTGATTGGCTTACAGCAACGCAACTCTACCACTGACTGTCTGCTCTGCAACGTTGATGTTTTATCTCCACAAATAACACAAGCCTGGACGATTTCTGCTGTGCTGTGAAGTTGCTAATGCTAACAGTTAGCTACAGCTTAATTCAGCTTTTTCTACAAGTTCTGCCTTTCCAAGGATCAACTAATTACCTTTTTCTCATTCACTTTCTTTTCCCCTTTCCTTACATTTTTTAAATCACAATTTTTACTTTTCCCAATTTTTATATTCAGAATCATTTTTAAATAAAAATGTATTTATTTATGTCCTGAAGCACTTCGTGATTTTTATTGCGAGATACATTATATTAAAGATTGTTTCTTCTTCTTCTTCTACCATCCGAGACGTTCTCTGCTCTCTCCTGGACGCTAAACCAACAACAGCCTTCCTCACTGTGAGCCAACATGGGCGAGTCCACGAATGTTAATCTTCAGTGTGACGTAAGTCTGAGTGGCTTTTCTGACCTGAGCGTTTTCCCATCTCTTTTATATCAGTGGCAAATGCAGGAAATAGGGGTAGAAGGCTATTTTCATGTTCAGCCTCCATATTTAAAAAAATAACAAGTACAAAAGGGATTCTCAGTGAACTTGATCTTTAACATTTACAGAACTAACTAAAATGTTTAACTGCGGATTTAATCTCTTGATTTCAGAGTTTCAGAAACATTCAGTGACTTTAACACATTTAGGGCACCAGATGTTGCTTGATCGCTGTTTAATTAAAAAAACTACCAGCTTGTTTTGAATAGGAAATCTAATCCATTATGCTTTAGAGTAAGGTAGTCTCTCTAAGAACGTGCTAATCAGGACCATGTGCTGTTCCTCCCCAGGCAGTGATCTTTAATTTTCTCCCTCTTCAGCCTCTGGAGGAAGGATCCAGGTGGAAGCTGCAGATGGGAGTGCACTAACGAGTCGGAAAAGGCTGGTTGGGATCCTCATTACCAGCTCTCCGCTTCAGGGAAAAGACACGGGGCGTCCAGCAAAGGGATAAACGCAACGATCTGCAGCAAGAAGCTCACACACCATCTTTGTTTCTAGCATTTGTGCTTTTATTGTTACAATTACGTTACTCTTCCATATATTGCTTTACATGTGTTGTAATATTTGTGTTAAAAACCAAACAGAAGATAGTTTACATTCAGGAGTTGCTCTGCGTTTAGACTGATCAGCATCACTTTCATGCTTCCATCAACAGAATACGAAGAGAGGAGGCTGCCCTCTGAAGAGGAACATATTGCTCATGCTTTGAGAACAACACTGATTTTTATGTTTCCACCACCAGGCACACAATGGGCGACATGACACTGACATGGTAAATAAACAGAAACAACCAGAACAAACATGCTCCTGGTGCTAAGTGAGGTGGAGTGTGCGTGTATGCGAACAACGCCTGACGTCATGCACCTCACACATTGTCCAAGGTTAAATTCAACACCGTCTATTTTTTGTTTTCATGCATGTGTGAGGAAATATTTTTGGAACCATTTGTTAGGGAGAGTGAAAAATGCAAAATGTTCTGGAAATGTGTTTACTTTTAAGAGCATAAATAATATTTTAATGCTAAATGATACAATAATGACTTCCAAATAGGGATGTAAGAAAATATCTATATTTTTTCCTACGATATATCGATATTCAAAAGCCGTGTATCGACTTTTTGGAAGAATTTACAAGCAAACATTTGTGTATTTTCTGTTCTTTTGGTACAATTCAAACACTGACCGCTGGCTGGCAGCAGTGTTCAGTGGGTTTTGTTTCCACCACTGAAATGTAAATCCCTCTATTATGGTTCAGATACCTCATGTTAAACTGATGTTTGGACTGTTTATTGAATTTTCCTACAATAATTTAATTGAAAATAAAAAGCTAATATGATCTGGCTGAATGTATCACAATAACGTGATACGTATCGTATTGCCAGAATTTCACCAATACACATCCCTACATCCAAAGGTGTTAATTCTGCCAGTTGAATGTTCAAAAATCATCAACCCAATTTCACACAGATGCTTTAAATTAGCCAATAAATTTGATTATGAAACAAGAAAATATAAATAAAAGTAGAACATTTTAATAAAATAGGGAAAAAACCAACAACAATATATTAAAAATATTTTATCTGCTGAAGTGGAAAGCTTAAAAAAGGCAGAAGATCTTTAATCTGGAGAGCGGGTGTTTGTGTTGAGTTATCTTAATGAAATAAAACTAGAACATTAAAACAGGTATTTTAAATGTACATATTAACAGCTGATTAATCTGAAGAGTGTCATGGGTCCAGACGTGTGGTTTTGGTGTTTTTTAGCAGCTGTAGTCACCGAAGGCTGAAATGTTTTAAAGTAAAATAAAATAGAAGAAAAATCATATTAAAGTTCCTTGATTGTCATTGGACAGCAACATTATACCAAAGGCATTGTGAGACGTTTCTCTTTCCATCTTATTTTAATCCTTTTTTCCAGTTTCCTTGGACTTTTATTTTTTGCTTATTTATCTGCTTTTTGAGTGGAAGCTGGAATATTGCTGTAATTCTTGGCAAAATGCTTCTCTGTCTTAATTACCCATAATGCATCACTAACACAAGAAATAACATGCAGATGCCATCTAGGTCTGAGGAAGTAGTCTGACATTTTGAAGCCTGTCACTCGTGTTTGTTAAAAATTCAGCATGCTCAGTGGGCGTGTGTGTGTGTGTGTGTGTGTGTGTGTGTGTGTGTGTGTGTGTGTGTGTGTGTGTGTGATACCTTGGGTCGTTCAAGTTTAAGGGAAAAAACTGACTTGGCTTTAAATATATCCATGATTTACGTTTACCACACATTATAGTCTCACCTCCTTAAATAATACACTTTTCATTTTATGATGACACATTTCATGCTTTCTCCTCAAGGCTGAGCAGAAACACACAAGAAAGGCTCGACTGCACAAACACTTGAAACGAGACAAACGGGAAAGCTGCTTAAGTAACAGAATCTCCTCCAGCACCTTTAATGACATTAGCTTCAGTTTCAGTTGTACAAATATATAAAAAGGGATGGCATGCAACTGTGTGTGTGTGTGTGTGTGTGTGTGTGTGTGTGTGTGTGTGTGTGTGTGTGTGTGTGTGTGTGTCAGGTTTTCTAGCTTCTTGTCATCACTGCATATAAATAAATTGCAATCATTTGTCAGGCATCTATGCTAAATAGTTAAGTTATTCTTTTGATGATCATGATGAAATCACAGGTAGTATTTGTGTTTTTTTAACCATCAGCTGCTTTAAACTCAGGGTTTAATCTACAAACTGAATTATCATTAAGTTGGTTCACACTGAACTGAAGGGTTAGTGTTTGTTCAGCTCATTAATTCATTTCAAATGAAAGAAACCGCTTTAGTATTTTCTGAAGATTTCATAAATGATTTATCAACACAAACACTGATTGTCCTGCCACCAACATGTGCAGATCTGTGGTAAAATCATGTTTATTTCTTTTGAATCCTTGGCTTCAAGTTTGAGCTCAGCAGGGCTGCGATCTAAGGAGCAGAGGACCCATCGTCATCTCCACCTACAGCCACCAGCTGGGCCCCACCAGCACCAGTGGCAGGATGAGAGCAGCGAAAGGCAAGCCTATGCTGTGGGAGGAGCTGGGGCTGCACAGGTCGAACAGACTTCCCTGGAAGCGGATGTTCCTGGAGTCCTGCCTCAGAGTCTCCCAGATGGAGCTGACCTCCTCCTGACAGTCGGATAGCGCCGTGAGAGCACACGTGTGGAAAGCTTCCCAGTGGCTGTGGGCGAACAAAAAGAACATCTATCAGAATTCACACCGACAGCAGCCCGTCACACACGAATGGGCTGTCTCGGATTAATTTGTTTTCCAATAATCTATCGCTCAGATGTCTCAACTGGCCTCCAGTAAGTCAAGCTGAGCTTTATTTGCCATGGCAACGTCACACATAATATCACAAGTGGGCAAATTTCAACACAAGGCTTGTGAGTGTAAATCTTTGTCTTTGATACGGTGCTGGGGTGGAGCTGGTGCTGAAACAGTGACATAAAATCTCCCCCAGATTTTCATTACTGCTGCAGAGAACTCATAAATTATTAAAGACGATGGCTTACACGGTGTCTCTGGTCTCCCTCTGACTTAATAGCTTCTGCTCTTCATTTCTCAGAGAAACACATTTATCTTTTTACTATTTACCCCGGCACTACAGACTCCATGCTATCTGCTGGGCTTCCCCTCACAGGGAACGTTTAACTAAATGGGAAAATGAACTGAACTCAGTCCACTGATTCAGTTAGAATGTTTACTCTGTAAAATGCCTCGAGACGACTCTTTTGTGATTTGGATCCGTGTTAATAAACTGAAGTGAATGATAGCATGCCGGCTGTTCACCTGCACACGGCTGCCACTCCCCTCTCACTGGTCACGTTCTCCTGGTAGTTGTCCATGCTGTCTCCCAGCTCCAGGACACATTCAGAAAAGTCTCGATAAACGCTCTCACACTTCACATCCACGCAGAATCCGGGCGCTGCCAGAAACAGGAACACTGCACAAAAGATAAAGATAAAAAAGACGACACGGCACAATTAAAATAACTCATTTATGAACTACAATTTAAAGATAGGATAAGGAGGATATTTTTCTTCTGGGTGGATCATTGAAACCATTGGTCCGTATAACTGTCATTCATTCTGGTGAACTGTTCACGCAAGGCCGTCGTCGTACGTGCTCCTTGCTGGGTGGCTTTCACTTCCTGTGCATGAGCAAAGCAAAGGTTGGACTCCCCACAGATGCCTCTGTTGCCGTTTTTCTGCTCGGCAGGTGAGCTAAAGTTCAGCATGCTATTTAGAGGAACGAAGTTCAGATTACTGCTAAAAGAAGTTAGCTGCAAGATTGGCAGATACTTGTAAAAAGAGCGTGCATGAGGATTTTTCTAAATGTGGAGAGGGCGGTAATGTCCTGAAATTCAGAAACATCCTCCATCATCAAATCAAATCAACTTTATTTATAGAGCGCTTTCACATGGCCAAAATGGACAAACAAAGCACTGTACACCAATAAAAAGCACCACAATAGGACAGAGAAATGACCATTAAAATACAATAATAAATCCATTTAAAATACAATAAGAAATCCGTTTAAAATACAATACGAAAACCTGAGTGCAAGTTCACAGTCCAATATCCGGCCTACTTCCCCCAACTTAAAGTCCAAACGCCAGCGAGAACAGATGTGTTTTTAGTCTTCCTTTAAAGACCTTTTAATAAGATTGTTCAGATGATTATAATGATTATAAAGGTATTATAACCACTCTAAGGCCACGCAGTCTGGAGATTAATTCTGACTGAATCTTAAAACAACTCAAACATCAAACTTTTTTCTCCATTGAACCTTCAACGCATTTAGCGACTCCAAGATGTAAATCTTCCCGGATGAGCTGAGGCACTTTCACAAGGAATAATAAGATTATTTCCTCCAGAATAACTGTATAAAATAGAATTAATCATTAAATGCCTCTGGGTGCTTTGTGTGGTGGAACTGCAGAATCACAAGTGACCAGATCAAAGCTGGTTGGTATAAAGACACCAGATGTAATCAATAGGGGTAAACTGCAATAACATTGTCACGATGTGAGCGCAGGAGGGTTGGACCCAAAACGCAGAACACCACACAACTCAAGGCTGGAGAGGTTGTATAAATTAAAAAAAAATCCTTTTATTAGGATGATTAACAAAAACTGCTGGACTCTAAAGCCAGAATTCTAAAGTTCAAAAAGTAAAAAACAAAAAAACAAACAAACAAACAAACAAAAAAAGCTCACTCATGAGCCAGAATCTATAGTTACTGGAGAGGGGGACAAGGCAACGCTGACGAAAGACAATGAACCGACAAACACCGGAGACACAGACAGGGTTATATACACGGGGCTGGTGTGATAGGAGACGAGGAGCAGGTGCGTGGGGAACTGGGCACAGGGGAAACAAATAACAGAGAGGAGGAGCAGAACGGAGCAGGGGAGGAAACCAGCCATATCTGGGGAAGGGAACACACACACACTAAAGGAGACTAAGGAACTGCCATAATAGACCTATAGAAGTTACAGTGGGAAGACTAAGAGAACATGAGGAAAACCTGGAGGGAGCTGGGGACAAAAAGGGCTGGGGGCTACAAGGACACAGAACACGACAAACATCAGCAAACAGTCAGCATTTAGAATATTGAGCTCTTTGAAAATGTCTTAAATTCACCAATAGAGTTTGTTTAAAATGGTCTAAGCACTCAACCAAACACGCTGATTTAGTTTATAGTCAGGATATCGAGCTGATAAAAAATTTAATAAGAAATAAAAAAATACAATTATTAGATGTGTTTAGAACTGAAAACCATCAAACTAATTTAATAGTTAAATTAGGATCTATTAGAGACATAAAATAATACACAATCAAACAATGCTAATAGTCAGTTGATCAGATATTCCTCTAAATGCTATTTGAAGTGACATGGGCTCAATCCCAATACTTGCACTGCTTCCTACGGTCTTCTGTGAAGTGCACTTGGTGGAAGGGCGCAGCAAGGCTTCAAGTGCGTAGTACACAAGTTTGCAAATAACTGCCAAATTGGGAGAGGAGGCATTGTGTCGTTGACTGTAATGCATGCCAGGATCCTGGTTGTTGTGCTACGTTTAAAAAAATCTTTATTAACAACTTTCAACCAAATAATCATTTGATATAAATTTACATTCATTGCTGCTTTTTCTAAAACATTAAAAGCATCAATTAATTGTCCTAAAATGAACTACTTTCATTTGAAAATACATATTTTTATAAAAGGCACGTGAGCCTTTTTTCCACAGCAATGGATTGTGGGTAATGTCGATGCAGACTGTGTGAAGTGTGGATAAAGGGTGCAAAAGGGGGGTGGTCAACTTCCACACTACTTGCACCCCTGGCCGGGATTGCAAATACTGGGATCGGGCCATAGCGTACAACCTTGCGAGCCATTATGGGAAGAGTGTGACACTGACATATGACCAGCAGCAACGTGAAAGTTAACTAACAACTTCAGCTTTAATATCGGATATGCTGACATCTATTTATTGATCCCAGCTCAGTTTGGACTAGCAGTTGGCTCATCCATCCTGACATAATCTGTGTTTCTCCCAACTGTGGTTGTTCAAAGCTAAAATGCTATTTATTTCTAACATTTCCACAAAACACACTTCCAAAAATGTCAACTGCACCTTTAAAATCAACATCAACAACTATTTGTGCAGAGACACTGATGTGATTTTCAACATAACGTAAAAAAATGTCAAACTACATTTTTTATAGCAGATAAAAAAAGCAAAGGAATATTTCAAGGATTATATGTGCTTTAGAACCTCATCTTTGTAGTCAAAATACCGTTAAGCATGGTTTGTTGGCGACTTTCCTGAGAGGGGAGTGGGTTCTGCTCTGGGATATTTGAATCTGCTTAAACAAATGAATGCATGTATGAGTGAAGCTGATTGTTCCGGAGCGGGTGTGAGCTACTCACTGGCAGGTCTAAAATGACATCTCGATGTGCTCCGCGTCGATAATAGAATTACATTAAAATAAATAAAGACAGCGGTCTGTTCAGTAGAGTCGCTCTTACCAAAGCTAACAGCCAGAATCGCTCCGATCTTGGTCGACATGAACAATCCCATCCCATTTCAGGCCGGGCGGATGATGCTGGGTGCTGGCGGAGGAGAGGACGCACCGCGGGGCTCGGTCTCAGATTAGCGGTCCCGACCCAGAGTGCATCCGCGGAACCGGAGTCGTATCAGCCACGGAACAGCAACAAACACTCGGTGAGGCTCCGTCTGTTTCCTGCACCGACCGAGAGCTGACGTTACACACCCACCACCCCACCCCGTGCGCGTGAGCTCATCTCCATCCTCTTGTACTCTTCAGCACCGGACAGCTCCCCATATCTATCCATCTATCTATCTATCTACCTATCTAGTAGCTCTTTCAGCTTCAGTTTGAAGAAATAGATTTTCCTTTATAAATTTATAAATTGTTTGTTATGATAAGGATTTACAGAAGACGTGCAATAATTGTTTCAATAAAATTAGGCAGATGCATAAATTTGGGCACTACAAAAAATAATTAAACTCAATATTTAGCCGAAGTCTCAAAATGAAAATTCTATTTGACAACCTAATATTTGTTCGGAGATATTTTCCCATCTGCAGCGTGATTTGCTGTGCACCACTTAGCACTGACTGACTGTTAATTATTAGTTATACAAAGCTTGAGGACGCCATCCCCTAATGTCAGGCTAAAGTGTCTGATTTACAGTCATGTGCTTCCAACAAGCTGTTAGTAAAAAAAAAAAAACAAAAAAAAACATTAACATCAAGACAGAAGCGCCAGGAAAAACAGACAAAAAATCCTTGTACTGTTTAAAATGTTGTTTTATTAAAAAAAAAACATTGTTAATCAGCCTGGGAGCTTGCACCTTTGATGTGAGGCTGAAGTTTTCTGCTTTTTCCTCAAATGGATTGGAAAAATGTTGGAAAAGGCCAAAAAACAGGGTGAGAACACTGTTATGTTGATTGTTCTTGCAGCTGCCACCACCAGGACACACGATCTCTGACAAAGCCTTTCCAGGCTAATACAAGTCACAGTGGTGTGGAGATCCAGTCCATCATGCTCGTCGGTCAGAAAGTCAAATTAAAACCATTTCTGAATTCCAAAACCAGCATTCCCAGATGAACAGGAAGTGGGATGCTGCACTGTAGAGCAGCGTGAAGGCCCAGAAGCAGAGTGGAGCTTACTGGTCGACTCCAGCCGCCCTTTTGGTTCGTTTCCGTGGGGACGTCTTAGGAGAAGCCTTGTCTGTAAGACGGGGAAATATAAGACACAGATAATTGCTTGAGACTTTCCGGCTAACATTAGAGACTGAACAGAAAAAAGGAACATACTCATGGCATTAAGTGTCTCCTGAGGAATCCAGCTGATGTCCACATCGTTAATTCCAACAGTGCCTTTCTCTATTTTCACAGGAATCCTTTTTCTCTGCAGAAAATAAGATGAAAGACAATTATGTTAAAAATCAAACAATCCCGTAATAATCAGAGCTCAGCCAGGTTCAGATGCAGAATACCGTTCTGGTCTCCAGAAGCTGGTACATCCCAAACAGCATGAGGGCCACCAGACCAGCCAGGAACACGTACATGAACATTCTGCAAACACATCATTTCTTTTTAGCACCACTGAAAGTATAGAAGTGAAAGAGAAGAGAAATCTTTACTCGACCAGTTTGTCTGTGACACTTTGTGCTTCTTGCGCCAGCAACACAATACAGAAACACATTTCTTTGTGCCAGTTTCACACCTCTATTTTCAGGACTTCTCCTCTGGTTTATTAGTCTGAGAGCCTGTGCAGCAGAGCTGAAATCACTTCAACTCCTCCACCTACTGACTACCGTGATGCTTGTGGTCTCCTGGTTTTGCAGCAGCAGTAGCAGCAGCATTTTGAGTCTCGTGAGTGAATAACAGGTTACGAACGATTCGGCTGAGCTTACGTTTCTCCATCCAACCCGTCTTCTTTCTCCGTGATGGTGACAGTCTGGTTGTAAACAGCAGTCTGGAACATGGAGCCCTGGTGGTTTTAGAAGAAAAAGCTAATTCAAACCAAAACGCTCACAGAATGATTTTAGGTCAAACTAATTCTTTCAGAAACAGCAGAAAGGAATCCATCCCGTGTGAAAACCTACAATAGTCTGAAATAAAGATGTTATAAACGTTTTCTGTGGAACAAATACTGGCTCAGTGTTTTTCTTCTCACATTTATTACACAACTTGAGACTTTAAATTAAATAAAATAAAAAAGCAGAGGAATAAAAAAATCAATAACACAAAGAACTGTAAGTGGGCGGAAAACAAAAATCTGTTATTGATGTGTATAAACAGAAAAATAAATAAATCCAGAATAATGACCTCACTAGGCAGTATTGGGTCATTTAAATGACAGTATGGATATAATATTGCTTTTTTATGTTTAAGGACATCCTTGGACGCCTCAGACTCCTGAGCTCACTCATCCCAAAATAAACGGACAGTTAAAGTAAATTATAAAGCAGCTTGAACGTTTATGATGTGAGGCAAGTTTTCTGTAAGTTAGGCTGAGCAAAAAAATTTTAAAATTAAAGAAAGAGAGAATACCAACAAAATAATGCCAACATTTTAAAAGTTCAAGAAAGAAAACAGAAAAATAAAGCTTCTAAAACTGTAGTTTGCTAAAAATGATTTTCTCTGGTCTTAAGTTCTGCTCACATAAAGATTTTATGTGAAATTTGGAAGCAAAAGATTAAGACATCTAAAGATCACTACCACAGCAGATGATTTAGTGACATCGAGTGGTGAAAACTCAGATTACAGCCAAATCTACCCATCTTTTCTGTGTGGAGAAATAAAACAAGATTAAATAGGGATGCACAATATATCGGCACCAATATTGGTAGATGTTGGGCATTTTTTAACATATCGATATCGGTCCGATCAATAAAACAGGGCAGATACTAACAACCGATATTTTTTCTACCTTGTTTCCATTTGTTTATCTGTTTTGGGGAGTATTTGTTTAGTCATGTGACAGTGGTTGTAATCATCTCAGATGCGTAAATGTGTGTGTGCATAATAATGTAAGGTCTGCTCTAATAATTTTCACTCTATACAAAATCTGCTGACTTTAGTAGCATTAATGTCAGATATTGGTATCGGCCCAAAAATTTCATATCGGTACATCACTAATATTAAATGTTAAGAAACCATAAAAATAACCAACTCCAGAGTTTTAGTCCCTTTAGTATCACTGTAGGAGACTTCTAATTGTGAATCTCATGTGAGATCAAAGTGATGAAAGCTGCATTCTGTGCAACAGGCATAGGTTTAAGAATCCAAGTGAAGCAAAACTATTTTTTTTCCCTTTACCTCAGCATCCTGGTAGTTGAGGAGGATAACGAGACCGAAGGGCCGTCCCGCCATGGGCTGAGCTGGGATGAAGGAGTACTCGAAAGAGGCCTGAGCCTGCGGCTGGACCACGGTGTTCAGGGGCAACGCTGTGAACTACAATCACAACTCACTAATTATGTACTTGGTTCATTAAGACATTAGTGGCATCAGTAGTGGTTTTAAATGACTAAATATCACATCTCACACACACGCGCGCGCGCGCACACACACACACACGAGAAAATAAAACTAATAGACCCATTTAAACATGTTTAGTTTTTTTCTGACAAAACTTACATTTTGAATGAAGAACTGGAAATCTTGGGGGTAACGGAACGAGGCCTCCAGAGACTGGATGGTGAAAGCTTCACTTCCCTTATTGGTGAATCCCACCAGGAACCTCACAATCTCATTAGCAGGAAACTCTAAATGCATAAAAACAATCGTGTAATTAAACTCCTAAACTAACTTATCATGTTCAGCAAATCTTGTTTCAAATAATAAAGAAATAATTGATCTCTTCACAAACCTTCGCCAGTGATGAAGAGGATGGTGGTGTCGGCATCAGTGTGAGAAGTTATATCAGAAGCTTCTTCATTGTCATTTTCATCTCCTTCCTGTTGAGGACAAAAAATCAAATATATCACATGAACACACCCAGCATGTAATATCTGCTACTAGTTCTTAGAGATACTCAACACACCGCATTCTGTAATTGATCTTCTTCAACAACCACCTCTTCCTCATCGTCCTCCTCATCAACAGCAGCATCTGTGTCTTCCGAAGAGTCCTCGGCTGGGTCTGAATCTGCGTGAACGTGGCCTGCACAGACAGAAGTCAGCAGTGAGTTGGAATGAGAGGTTGGATCTGGACTGGAATAAAAATGTTTGTGGATCCTAAATGGAAAAAAAGTCACAATTAATGAAATATTGAATAAGTTTTCAGTCATAGGGCCTGTTTAATTCATTCTCCAAACTCCTGGAAGTAGTAAAGGTGAAAATCCACCACAAGGCTGAGGATGATCACATAATAAATAGTGTTTTACTCATACATTTTTCTCACTTCATCTGAATTTGATCTTTAATAAATAATCCAATTTAAGTGAAAATAATCCATGCTTGAAACAGGGTTAAAATAACCCACAGAGGATTTTACTGCTCATCTTAAATGTGAGCCATTACAAACCCAAACAGGAGATTCCACCTTATGGTGACGTGTCCCGCGGATGGGGGGGGGGGGGGGGCTGCTGCTGATTGTTAATTAAACCTAAACGACTTCAAAAGTTTGGACAGATTCATCTTAATAACCTAAAATATTAAATCAAAACCTCCTCCGAGCTGGTTGTCTTAGTTTTAAATGGCCAGATGCCACCAGCTACGTGCTGACCACCTCCTTACAAATAACCCGAGTTAGAAACTATCGTTGAATTAATGAAGGTTTATTGAGAATTAAACAGCAATATGGCAGGAAGAGCAGCTCGCGTAGCCCGTACATAGCGAGGGGACTGGTAAGTAGTTTGCCACGTCAATATCTACAAAGATTAGCTCAAAACGTTATTTTACACGAGGAAAGAACCAAAAGTATCTGCCCTGAAGCGGAAGTACACTTACCGACTGATATGAGCCCGCATGGGAAGGCCAGAAGGAAAACAAGCAACAATTTAGAGACGATTTTGAACATTTTTCCAGGCTGTGGAAGCTTGACGCTAGTAACACATCAGCGTTCAGGAGAAGAGAGAGGGCAGCGTAAGAGCAGGGGGCGGGGTTACAGGACGTTAGCTACCACGCCCATTATGGTCGCGCTGCATTCACTGACATCCGGAAACTACGAAGTTTTCACCTAAAAGAAAGAACCTTTTTTTTTCAACGACTGCTCACTGCCTTTTTAAAGCTGTCAATGCACATGACTAATTTTGTTACACAAAATCATTAACTTTTATATTTAACAATTTCAACTTCTACCAATGATGTTTTTTGATGAGGCTCACTGTTTTGGTTTAAATGTTTATATAGATTTTTACTTAAAATAAACAAACAAATAAAATAATAATTTCAATGTTGCATTTTAAGTTACATTTACTAAGTGTCCAAATCTGCTAGACGTCCAAGTATAATTTTGCATGTCCGTAATGGCCCCAGGGGTCCATTACGGTCCTCGGGATGATTTTTATGCAGACCCCAGTTGCATTTCTTAAATGGTGGATGTAGATAAACGTGTTTATATCGAGATTTGTACTATTTTGAGCAGCTTAAATAGAAAAATACAATAAAAGAATCTTTTTATTTAAAAAATAATCATGATTGTGTGGTCCACGAGAACTTTTAACTTGACTTTTTTTGGTCCTTGTCTTGAAAAGTTTGAACATTTCTGAGCTAGATGCAATAAGAATGAAGCTTGAAAAAATATAACCTAATTTATGTTTTACTTCAGTTTGTAGTTTCAATGGTTCTCTGTTGTTCATCTAAACATGTGTTGCCTAACCCTAACTTGAACATACATAAATGGAAGTGGGTGAAGCCAGTCAATATGCGTAATTCAACCAATTCTAGATTTCGTTTTGCAGACAATCTAAAACTAAAGTGACAGAAACAGACTTTGTTTCATGTGATCAGCAATAATGTTATCATGCCACTTACAGATGAGACATTGTTGGTTAATGGGTAGATCTAAAAGACCATTTTGAATAAAACGCTCTTCCTTCTTGTCTTCTATGATGTTGAGCTGCAGCAGCTATGGATGACTGCAAAATTTTGAGTTTCACCTCTAAGTGAAATAAGCTATTAAAGGTGCAGTGTGTAAGAATTTAGTGAGTTTTACAGTGAGAAAACCCCAAAAGAGTCTAATTTTTCAGTCATTTTGGAAGGAAGGTTATACTGAAACATATTTCATATCCAGCTGGTTGTGGGGATTGTCAGTTTTTCTCCTCTTAAAACAAAAGAAGGAGGGACGTAACTACTGTTTACCATCAGTGAGTATGGGGTGTCGTGTCTCCTGCGAGCTAATACTGCAGCACTAACAACGGCTGGAAAAAAAACCTCCAGAGTTGTAAAGCCTACACTTCTGCCTTGTCTCTTCTCACCATGCTGTTTAAGAAGCAGTAACACTTTGGAGCAACGTGGCACCATTGAGCAGAATTAATCCAGTGATTAAAACCCAAGCGTCTCATTTTTATTGCTGATACAGGTTTCACTTCTACTTTCAAGAACAACAAACTAGAAAACATTCGACCCAGGGAACTCAACGAATTAGATTATTTTATTTTATTACAGAAAACACAATAGACCCTTTATTGTCTCATATTTACAATTTACAAATCAATTACTAAAAATACTAAAACTTTTTCAGTTCAATATAATGTAGCATATATACACTGTATCAAATAAAAACAAAATCAATAATTGTTGAATTTTTAAAAAATGTACTTTCAACCAGGATATTTTGGTATTTGTCTTTTGGACATCCTTGTTCACCACCACCACTATCACTTGGGGGCAATAATGGATAGGAGAAGGAGCTAAAAGAGAGAAGTGCTTAGAGGAGTTAAGATGGATGCTTGATATTGCTACGTGTGATGCAGGTTCAAATAAAGCTTGAAATAGGAATTCTTGCCTACTCGTGCCACTTTCTGATAAAACTGCCGACCATAACAAACTGGCCTTACTATAAATTTATTTTTAAAGATATGTTACTTTTCTGAAGATTGCTTCTTAGAGGTGGAATATGGAACATAAAACACCACCCACTGTGCAAAGACCTAGTTTGGACGTCCTACAGATGTAGTCTAGACATGATCTGCACGTCTGTGGGACGTTGGCTGTTTGCAGGGCAGAGTGACATCTAGTGTGTGGAGGTTATAGTTGCAACAATAGAACAACACTTCCATGCAGCTGCCAGGATACCAGGTTCACTGCCAATACATGAAATTATTATATGGGTCCATCTGACTTAGGCTTCACCTAAACTCACTCTGGTTTTAGATCTTTAATGGTCACTTGAAGTGACTCACTTCTCTTCTGAGAAGGATGACAACATCTTCTGGGTTCAGAAGCAGCTGCTTGACTTGCTGCCATTTTAGTTTTACAACCCACAATGTTGTCCTTTATTGGCCGGTGGATGTAAACATAAACCCAGTGTCGTGCTGTGTCATGGATTTGATCAATATGTTTATCAATAACCCATTTCCTATATTGAAGAGAGAAGGAGACAATGAGCAGACAAGTCAAACAGCTATTACTGTGGCATAATGCAGCATAATGAGCAAGGAGATGTGAAATAAGATCTAAAATAACACACACACACACACACACACACACACACACACACACACACACACACACACACACACACACACACACACACACACACACACACACACACACACACACACACACACACACACACACAGCCAGCAGAGAATAGATCCAACTTCATGGAGTTGTTGCATTTATGGAATAATGAATTTGATGCATCTGATGCAACGTATGACACGACTTCCCTAAAATTACACATTTTCTTCAAGTTAAAAATAGAAGTTCCATGAACTAGATCCCTGAAATTGTCAGACCTGATCGTCAGTCTTGCTGCATGTTCCCTTCATGTTTCTCCAGTCTAAAAAAATGGTTGTGGCTTTTTGCAGAAGCACACATCCTGTTACAGCCCTTTGAAACAAACAGACATTCCTCCTGAGCAGCTTCACACCGTGTGAGAGGAGACACGATGCAGGCTCCATGCTCGTGTTCCTCAGAAACACAGTCAGAGCTCTATTTTAAATAAACTCACATTTTGTTTTGTGAACCGCCTGTGAATCATGGATTGCAAATGCAACACGACAGGTAAAGAAGCTAAATCTTTCAGTAAAACTCAATGTTTTTAAGGTTGATGAAGCAAAAGAGTGATTGTGAAATGGTGATTGTGACATTTGGGTTTTAAAGATCTTGATCTAAGTATGAAAGATGTTATGTCTTTGCAAAGTTGCTAATGGATGTTCTCTCTTAACAAACATGCAATAGATGCTGTGTGTGTGTGTGTGTGTGTGTGTGTGTGTGTGTGTGTGTGTGTGTTTGTGTGTACTTTACGCAGATTGTCTAAAACTTGCTCTGAAGCTCTAAAATGAATTCACCAGAATAATGAACAGGGAAAATGAACGGCTGTCATCTTTTTTTTCCAATGAGCCACTCTTTCAGAAAAAAAAAATCATAAATTAAACACTAATGTTCCTTATAGTATAAACAATTATTTATATGAGATAGAAAACATAAAGTAAGATGAATGTAATCAGTAGATCTGTTTGTAAAAAACTGTGTTGGTGGATCTCTCATGAACTGTTTTTGTAAGAAATAAATAAGTGGTGTTCCCCTTAGAAGCATCATTCTGGGATTCTCCAGATTTCACAGATGGCCAGTCCTCCACTAATCGTGTCTATAATTAATTGCAAAAGCGTGCATTAGAGAAAACAACACATTAGTTAAGCTTTAACACCATGATAACAGTGGGATATATTCATGCTTTCGTTCTTTTTTAAACACCTAAGATGTTCAGTGGGATATATTATTACTGCAAATCATTCATTGTTACAGTACATTTTTAAACATTTTTATGCATCTCATTTTCTTACATTAAATACAGAAAAAAACATGAAAATGAAAAAATGATCATAATTTACAATCAAAACCCTGCAGAGAGCAAAGTGAAAGATGGGATTTTCCAGATAAATGGAGAAAAAGATGAATATTAATTCATTTATTTAAACTTTACATTTATTTTCAGCAAAGTCAGAAAGTGACCCGAGTGAAGCTTTTCTGCATATTCTTTCAAAATTCCCGTGTTTCCTGCAGCTGCATGAGAAGAGCTGATGATTTGTTGTGTTTTGACTCTTCTCTCCAAAGTTTTGCCGTCTAGTTTTTTCTCATACATCACTGATGCAGAGCTGCATAAAATAGATGTTAAACTACTCAATTCTTTTTGTAAGACCATACAAGTTAAAACAGCATCTTTTTCAATGATAATTATTTGTGACCACAAGTGGCCAAAGTCAAAATTCACAGGTCAGTCAAAAGAAAGCTTAGCTTGACCGTCAGGCATCATTAGGGACATTTTTGTCCATTTGGGCAGTTTTTTGTTTTTCTTTTGGATGCCATTTCACCATTGTTTGTGCACATTGTACAACATTTTGTGCCAAAACTTCTCTAGACAATTTTAGAAATTCTATTTGGAATTTTGAAAATAGACCAAGGGAACACCATGGAAAAAACATATTGTGACCTTAGAGGACAAAATCGTCCGCTTGGTGCCTGGGCTCCAGCCAGGTGCCTAAACATACTAATTGTGCTTGTTTTCTACTATTTGAAATTCATCAAGAGAATCAAACTGTGTTTAAGTAACATTTCAGAGGTCAGGTTGACCTTTTGATTTCAATACAAATAGCAGAAGATCTAAAGAAATGTGTAGAGTTTCTCGCCCGGGCCACATATGAAGAAATGACTAAATCAATAAAAATCATAAATTTCACTAATTTTCTCCAAAATGAAACCCTAATATCATCAAAAGCATGATTATTTGTTGCAGATGTTACAGGATTAATAACTGTGGTTTGAATGGAAGTCAATGGGACGTTCTAGTCCTCAGTAGTCACAAGAGGATGTGAACTTTTAAATCTGTTGCTACCATCGACATATAAATATTGGACAATGGTGTAACGTGAGGAAATATGGGTTTTCTGTCACAAAGGTCATTTGACTCGGCTGGGTCAAGTGCTGGGTCGCTGAGAACT